AAGATTCGCACGCATAGAAGCCACACCAAACGGATTAACACAGTGTACTTGGAAAATGTCAGAAATGAGTTACAATAACTTTGTGGCGACTATTTCATAATAGCACTGAGTTATTTGGAACATTAAATCACCACAAGATCGATGATGTGACATGGAAAAGCGAGATGGCTGAGCAAGGTCGTGTAGCTTTTAATTATCAGCCGAGGTCTATTAAGACCCTTTCTGTGGGGTTTATCAAATCAGTTATCAGTCGCGAATAAGCTAAGCTTCCAATCGCAGGCAACAGGGGACAACGAAAAACAAAAAATTTGTTCGACGTGTGTTTCTCAAGTATCTACGGACGACATGCAGGCTTCGTGGCTAACTCAGTTTGTCTTTGTGACCTTGTAGATATTCCTGGTGGCAAACAGAGACTTTTGTGCAAACGTTTTAGAAACTCAAGTCGGTAAGTAATACGCTTCGAACCAGCTTCATTACATTTTTCTGACAGATTTTGCCTTACTCGGTCACGTCATCAGCAAAACTGATGTTTTTGACGATTTCGAATGTCACCTAATCTTCATGCTGGTGGCAATGATTGTAAGCTCATTATTGAGCAGAACAACAAAACCCGGCAGATGAAGCCAGGTGATTTTAAACGGAAGAAAGGATATACGTACTTCAGCTCAGTTCAGGTAAGTGGTAAGTTAAAAGTATAGTTTTTAAGTGCACATATTCATCTCTCATCCATGAGAGGCTAAACGTTCTAACATCTTCGAAGCAATTCGTTTAGGGTAACTGTGTCGATATTTCTTATGAACGAGACGCTCGAATAACGGCAGATCAATGTCATCCCAGATACAAAGGAAGATGGTGTCAAACACGTAAGCATTGTTAAAAAACTTTGACACGGAATATCATCCTAGCAAAACACATTTTTGTACCGCGCTAGAAAATGTGGTTCTTTTTTGTGACTGGATTGATTTTGCGTTAATTAGCCTTTTGGCAGCAGCTGCTTAAAGCAAACGACCTGAAGCACGTTAAATGCTTTGCAAGTGAGCAAAAAAAATTTATAATTATGCGCATTTAATTTGACGCTAAACTTCAAGCAAAATTTTCAAGCAAAATTTTCGCAATTGAAATCCGGAAAGGCACATTATGTTTAAATTCAATTTTAATTAGAAAAGTCAATATAATTCTGAAAAATTTACACCACCCCAAAAAATTTTCTTACCGATTTCGTAATGAAGCGCTTTCCTTACTCGCCTGATTGAACAGAAGTTCTCTTTAGAAGTACCTCTAGAACCATTGGTGGTTCTAAAGGTACTGATCATTTACTATCCATTGATTCTGCCACATTTAAATCAGCATGTCGTCAAAATTCCATCCTTATGCCGCCCTGGAGCACCTAATTATTTTTTGAGTTAGTTAATCATATCTCCTGGCTTTCGTCACATCCCGGTATAGTTTTAAGGGTGAAAGTTTATTTTGACTGATGAAGCACGATCTCCTTATACTAGCATTTTTTAAAGTTTTGAACTGTTTATTTATCGACCTCGTAAGAAATGATAATCTGTTGAAACTCCTAATTGGTCTGTGAAATCTGTGAATGTCAGTCCTCTATGCTTTAAACCATTTCCACGTAATTTTGAGGATGATTGTTTAGGTTGAACACTCCTCCCAAACTACACTACGCAGTAAGGTAAGTTATACATCAATTTTTCTTGGTTATTTCGTATGATATATTGATTTCCTGCGTCTCATGGCTTCTTTTTTGTTCTTACCACATTACGACGATCGTACAGAACAGACGGCGCTAGACAACATGGAGTCTATTTTTGAACAGTGTTATGTTGCATCATTTTAGTATTTTTTTTTGATCGAACCAAGAACTCATCACGAAGCGGTCTCTGTATGGATTTATCGACTGAGGCTGAATCTTGATTTATTATCTTAGTAGCTAAGAAAGGCTCGAGTTTCCAGGACCTTGGCAATTCATGTACTCCATAGGGAATAGGGAGTATTGGATCGACCTTGAGAAAAACGAAAACCCTTTAAAAGTCCACTGTGGCATGACAAGTGATGGAGGTAAGCTGTACGCATAAGCAATTCAGTGACAAGAAACGGATTAGTTTTTCTGTCTCATACATGCAGCTACAAGGGATTAGAAATACCAAAATTACAAATTACAATTACAATTACAATGTGTTCAGGCGGGACAGAGGTTGGGCAGACTTGGACAAAAGGAAAAAAGGGGGTGTTGCGGTCTATGTGAGAGACAGTCTTAAAGTCTTGGATGTCTATCGGTCCAATTTATATGAATTTATTGCTTTAACAGTGCAGTTGCCGTCCGATCACATTATGCTAATTTGCGGCCTGTATAATCCTCCCAAGCATAGCTACCGGGATCTCGACTTAATTAATTATATAATATCTTTTGTGGACATTGTGTTGAACAAACACCCAGAAGCGGCTATTGTCTGTGGTGGCGATGTAAATCGTTTGGATATGCAAGAATTTAAGGCTTTGTCTGGCTGGGATTTCGTGGTTGATTTTCCCACGCGGGGTAACGCGTGCTTGGATAACTGTATGACCAACCGAGCGGATCTGTTCGGTCAAGCATATTCCATACATATGCTTATTAAGACAGACCATGAAGGCTTTGTTTTACCGGCGGGATTAAAGCTTAAACCTATGCGCCGCAAAGTTCTTGTGCGGGACTGTAGGGAACATCGGAAACAGTCATTTTATATGGCACTCACTGCGCTGGACTGGAGTGACGTCCTCAATGAGGTGGACATAAACAAGGCGGTCGAGGTGCTTGAGGTAAAGATTCGTGCAGTGATGAATAAGTTTATGCCGCAAAAATCTGTACGCATGTCATCGCGTGACCCAGTTTGGATGTCCCCATTAGTCAAGTGTATGCTGAGGAGTAAGTCCCATATATCTTCAAAGAATAAGGAACGCCTGTCTTTATTTAATAAGCGCATTTCTGAGCTGATAACCGAGAACAGAAGAAAACTGGCTGCCATTGGTAGCGGTGAGTGGTGGAAGGGCGTGGACGCCCTATCGCAGCGTCGCAGGTCATCGTTGATAAATTTGGACAAGAACTCTCTAGTTCGTCTGAACGACTACTTCGCCAACCTGTGCTATGATGACACTTACGTTAGACCTAGTGATATGGATATCCCGGACAATGTAAAGCCCCCGAAAATATCTGAGCGGTGTGTCTGGAATACCTTAGTTCATGTAAAGAAAACCGCAACGGGACCAGACGACCTCCCGTACTGGATCTGGAAAGACTGTGCTGAGCTACTCACACCAATCGTCACTCACGTTTGGAATCTGTCGCTGTCTACTCATACATGGCCAGACTCCTGGAAAAGGGCAAATGTTAACCCTCTCCCCAAAGTGAATATGCCTATAGAGGACTCGGACTACCGTGGTATTAATGTTACTCCCGTTATTGCCCGGTTGTTTGAGAAGGTCGTGTATCGTACACAAGCACAGTCAGTCATTGAGAGCAACCTGAGCCACACCCAATTTGCATATAGACAGGCGGGTAGTTGCACAAATGCCTTGCTCGCTATCCAGCACCAGACATACAAGTATTTAGATAGTAGTGACTATAGCGCAGTGCGAATTTTTACCATGGACTTCAGTAAGGCTTTCGATTTTGTGAACCATGCTATTTTGTCTGCCAAACTGAAACAGCTACCTCTAAATCCGTACATTATCAATTGGTATCATAGTTTCCTCTATGCAAGACAACAGCGTGTTGTTAGTTATAATTTTTTAGGACAGTGGAAACTTGTCAATAGAGGAACCACACAAGGTAGTGTAAGCGGACCGTATCTTTTTAATATATTTTTGAACGATTTGGAGATTTTTTTTAATGGTTGCCCTGTGCTTTTTAAATATGCCGATGATTCCACTATTCTTTCGCCTATCACTAGGAATAGTGACCCGTCTGCCGACTTAGTAGGACAGTTCTTAACATGGTGTAAAGACAATAGAATGGTCTGCAACCCTTGCAAATGTAAAGAGCTGGTTGTTAGAAAGAAAAATCATAATGTACTCTACTCTCCAATTAATAATATTCCCCAATGTAATAGCTTCGTTTTATAAGGAGTAACTTTACAGAGTGATGGAAAATTTGATGAGCATGTAAGAACTAAGCTTGTCAAAGCAAACAAGTGTTTACACGTCCTACGAACATTGAGAAAGGAACATTACTCTCAGGCAGAGATTGATCATCTTTTTATATCGATTGTTTTGGCTAATTTTAGCTATGCACTTTCAGTCTATGGGGCATCTGAGTCCGATCTTACGGTTGTACAAAAATTTTTAGACCGATGTCATGAACGCGGTTTTATCTCATTCCCAGTTTTTATCAAGAACCTTTTAAACAAACAAGACAGAAATATTTTGAAGAAACTAAAATCAACGGATTGCCACCCCCTGAAAGATATCATTCCTGTCCAAAAGACATATCTACACAATCTCAGGAAAAAAGGCTGCGCGCGCCCGAAAATTAATACACAGCGCTTTATGAACACATTTGTAAATAGGTTGATATTTAAGCTCCATTTATTGTAATGATATACTTTTTAATTCATAATATGTATGTAGATTTCTGTAGTTTTTTCAATTCATTGTAACATAAGATATGTAGTTTTATCTTATGATGGAATAAAGACAATATATTAATAAGGATTTTACGCACAGATGTACACTAATGTTTTACTTGTTAAGACTTGCACCCAAATCACTGCAAGTTACTGTTCTCTGGACGCTGTGATTATCCATTAAACACTGCAATTGAGAGCACTTTGAAGGTGCTCGATATCACCACCATCAAAGGCAAATGAATATGGAACGCATTAACCTAACATGCAAATTTTTTACTATTCACTCGTGATATCGTATAATATTCAAGCGTTTCGTGTAGGCAAAAACTCTCGTGTAGACATTTCTCTTTTTTAAGGCTATGGTGGGTGTAAGTCGTTTGTTAAGTGTGTGTTTCTCCTGTCAATTCTGCGAGTCGCCAACTGTTTAACGAACAAAAATCTTCCAAAAGTCTCCCTTTGACAAAGTTATAAAGGTATCGCCGTTCCTGTCGTCGCACAAGCGGTTTCCAGAGGTTGTCATCCAGTGATACTGATGAGCAACATATACAGTGTGATCGTACAAGCGTGTTTCACCTGCTTTAATTGTATGCCCCCACTTGCCTGCGAATCTGTTGTTTCCCCATGTGGCACAATCCCTGGCGAGATAAGAGTTGTCATCTTTCATTCTAACAAAAGAGAGACACGAGTCTGGCCGGGTGTTCGTCTGACCGCTGAAATACTGGACTACAGCATCACCAGAGCTGTTAGCAGCAGTGGTCACGTGGAATGTACGTCCCTGTTGTTTGCTGCAGTGGAATCTCATCTGAGTGAAAGACAAGTGTCTTCTGAGTTCTTTCATGGCGCTAATTGTGATACCCATTTTGTGATTGGTGAATTTGCTGATCCCGCGGTACGATGGCTCAACGGTCCAAGCGGGAGGAGTGGTCGAGCTATCTACCATAAAGATGGAAGTAAGAAGCCAGCCTCCTAGAAATGTTAGATAAAGACCGTGCATCACACATCAATTCTAAAGTATTCTAGGTAGAAATGCGAAATCTTGTGGAGTTTTTAAATGTAAAATAGTGTTGATATCTCGATTCGTTTAATGATTTGGACATGACAGATTGCGATGCATATTTTTATGTGGTATCATCTGTTGGTACCATTCACCTACCTCCGTCAGTTTTCATATCACAGTAGACCTTCAAAGGGTTTCCTTTGCCCTCAGGGTCGATCCAGTATTCCCCATCTCCTTTAGAGTCATTTGCTTCAAGAATATGCTTGCAAGATTTTCCAGGATTTGCAGCAAAATGGCCAAGTCTCACTTGATAATTTTCAAAGAAAGAGATAAAAATTAAGCTTCTAAATCGCAGCTCTTATTATCATCAACACAATCTATAAGTGCGCTTTAACCCTTTACATCTATATTCATATTCTCAACGCTTTTCGTTACACATTGCCCGCGGTAATGACAGTGAGTCTTTGTTTAACGATCGACGGCTTGTCTCGTAGGTGATCATTTCCTTTATTTCCTTGACCCTAATGACTGATTCTGAGAGGAGAATGTAACTAACAACTGAACGCACGGCAAAATGGAATCAATTTGTTTAATATAATAAAGAAGCAAAACTTGTGAATAATGACGCCATTTATAAGTCTTTCCTCCAATGGATCATAGGTAAGAACCAATCAAATAGTCAATCTTAGGTTATCGTCTTGTTGCTTTGATTCTTTTCTTAGCATTTCTATAGCATATGATAACGATAGACCAAAACTAAAAAAGCCCTGATTGCTTTGTTGTCATCAATGAAAAGAAATTTCATGCCGCAAAAACATATGAGTCAATCGCATTCCATCTTACCCATCAGGCATTCCAATCCCTTGTACCCCGGATGACACTGACAGTTATCTTTCCCAATGCAAATTTTTGGAACACAGGACACCTGCGATAAGCAAATTCAACAAAGCTGTTGGACACAAAGAACCACTGACCATGTCGATTGACTGAGATACATTGTCACTGAAAACCATGTTGCCGTGGGTCTGTTTTCATCAATCGGTCACAGAGGACGTCAAATGAAGATAAAAACAAAAAACTAAAGTGACGCACGGGGTGCAGCAGAGTGTCACTGATTACAACTTCCCTGATTTATTTCGGTACAGACTCACGGAAACATAGAATGCATATGTTTTGTATCAGTAACGATGTAAAATCCTATCTTTGATGACGTCATTACTGTGTCTGTCCTCCGATAGCAAAGAACCAATCAAAGTGCATATATATATAGTTCACCTTATCACATGAATAGAGATCTATGTAGTACATGCACATATAATGGGAAAAGAAAAATGCACCGGTTCTAAGGTTGTACGCAAGGAAACCAGAACTTTATTTAGAATTTTTGAGAAGTGATAGCAGATTTAATAATTCAAAATTATTTCCTGCAGAAAATAACTTCACAAGCGTTTCATGTAAACCTACCGGAACAGCACCATTGTAAATATATCCCTGCCTGTGTTTAAAGTCGCCAGGTTTGGATATTCGTGATTGGTTATTTAACTCACACACTTGATACTTGTGCCTACTGTTTTTGGCTTGAAGATTGTATGAATGACAGGTGTCATTTGCCATGCACTTCAAAGCACACTCAGAGTAGTCGGAAACGTTGAATTTGATGAATTGGTGACCAAATAAGGCATACCCTGTGAGAATGAAGGCAAAATTAGTTTTGACATAAAGAAACTCGAAACGAACTTTCATACCACTTGGTTTATTAGCAACAAAAGTCAATTTCGTCATAGTGAGTTTTTAATTATTTTTTCTTCATTAATTAATTAATTATTCCTGTGCTTATTATCCCTGTAGTTGCATGTCTTAACGTACCTAATATAGTTCATCGCCTATACAAAAACAAACGAACCGATGCGAAGCAAAGCAAAGCGGTAAAAGACGATTATGACCGAAACAAGCTGCATCGACTCTAGACTGTAACAGATATAGAACTTACCCGCACATACAAGCAAAAAAAGCACACAGTATATAACTAATTAACAAAAGCTGCAAGAATACAAAGAGCTAAGCTAAGCCAAAAAACGGAAAGCACGAACAAAAACAACTACGCAATCCTGGCGCCTACAATCACTTTGTTGCTTCAAACTTCAAAATCTCAAACTTGGAACCCCAAAACTTTAAATTTTGTAGATGAACTTTGAAGTCTTTCAGGTCAACACAACTTAACTCAACCCAAATTAACGTCATTAAAATTTTCATCTCATCCTAACTTACCGTCATGGCTCTCGAACACAACTGAGCAGCTTTCCGAATGTCGTGCAACAGGGAAGATAAGGTATGGTCTCAAAAAAACCAAGAAAAATAGAATATAGATGCCAAGTAACATCTTTCGTGACGAATACCCCGAGGAAACTGAGAACAAACAAGATAATGCAACTCGTGAAATGGCATTTGATGCAAATTTTAAAATAACAAGATATGTCAAACAAACCTATACACAACTTAAGATGGCAGCAGTCCCAATTTTTTTTCCTTAACATGCGTCTGGATAAATAACATTCCTAACCTAGTCGAAAACATTATCATCAAATAGCGTTTTTTTCTAAAAAACTACATCTGTTTTGATCTTTTTTGTTTCTGGACTTACTTCTGTTTGTGGCCTATTTTTCATGACAACAAAACAGTTCAGTTATAAATAATTAATTAGTTTCACAACAAAGTATTCTTATTTTCAAATTTTGTTAAGTCGGCGAACTGTGAAAGTATATAAATAACATCCACTAGCACGTACCTCCTACCTGCGCTAATTTGCCATGGTAACCCTTTGAATGAAGGAGTAAATCCGTTGACGAGATTAATTTGAACAAGCAAATGAATCTTAAGACTGATAAATCACCCAAAGATGGAAACGCTGAGCAAAATAACACGTAGAGCTGAGAAACTCAATAATGGCTCTTCTCGCTGATTAGTAAACAAAATTGTTTGTGTGTGAGAACTTTTTTAACAAAGCAGGTGAAGGCAATTTATTCTCTTACGAAAAATAATCTTATCTCCTGGGCGATGAAACCAAACACAAATATGCAGTGTTGATTTTAAGGACAACTGATGCCCTCGAGCTCATTTAACATCTTACCTACAGTCCTAAGATCTGAAGAGTAACTCCCTCTTTTGGCTGCCACGTATGTTATTTACTCAAGGGAACTTAGGGTCTTATCCAGATAGAAGCTTTCGCTCACCCACCTGTGTTGCAATAAAATGATGTTGTCCACCGTCAAATACTTTAAATGAGTTATGATGATTGTTTGATCGATCGATCGATCGTAGATCGAGATCGCTGGAGTTTATGTCAATTACTACCGTCTGCCCACACGAAACTGGAGGATAAGAGAGGGCAGCGATTCAAAAAGTTAGCATCCTCACACAGAATGAAAAATATTGGTGATACGCGCCAGTCATTCACATTTAATCATTTACTTCGAAATTTGTTTTCCAATCACTTTACATGTCTTAACTATCTGAGGAAAATTCTTCCATAATTTCAATAAAAATCTTAGAGTCAATGACTACAAAAGAAGCCAGTGAGATGATTTTAAGGCAATGTGAGATTAAAACTGGCTGATAAATGCTTTATAATTATTGAGCACAAACTGCAGTTCTGGATTAAGAATCAATATCTCAGAGCTATAAAGACTTTTGGAAAAAACAGATTTCCAGAAGTAGAAGTTGTTTCAGACTATGGCGTTTCTCGTAGTAATGTTGTTGACTATTTTGCAAGCTAAAAACTGACAACACGAAATTCTGAGGCCAAAAGAAAAAGAAAAGAAAAATTGCGAACTTTAACCACTCAGGCAGCTGTTCGGTAAATCCGTAATCCGGGCAAATTCACCCATTGCCCACTGCGGTATGACAGAAATTACAGTGTAAGAAAAATATCCACTGCGTATGAATACCCGGGACGTACGAGGAACAAAATTATTTTCTTACGTTTTGCTTTGTTGAGAAATGACATCTGCTTCTTTTTCGTTTAAGTTGATGCGATTGAAAATAGCTAGTAAACAACAATTCAACTTATACTTCCCCTTAACTTAGCCAAAACACCAAGATATTAATAAAGAACAAACACCGTGAATACTTGGATAAGATCGAATCGTCTTTTAAATCAAATTCAAAAGCTTTCTGGTCCTACCATAAGAGCGAGCTGTAATGCGGTCCTCAAGCATAATGGATCTAGTGCTAAATCTTCCAGAGAAAAAGCTGAACTTTTCAACTTATATTTTTCTTCAGTTTTCTCAACGCCTGATGTAAACACAAATTATGATAATGAGATCAACTCCCTTGAGTCTGTAACTTCACTGGCCGATTTCGAAATTTGCGTCGACGAAGTAAATAAATGCCTGAGTAACTTGACATAAAAGCGTGCGGTCAATGGGATCCCATTTTTAAAAGAATGCAGCCAACAAATTGCACCCAGCCTTTTGCGTTGTTTAATACTTCACTTAGCCATGGACGCCTACCCACTGAATGGAAATCAGCTGACGTTACTCCAATACATAAAAAAGACTCTAAAGAACTGGCAGAAAACTACAGACCGATCTCCCTCCTTCCTGTTATTGGGAAAATCATAGAACGCTGTGTTGCCAAAAGACTATATGACCATCTGATTGATTTTATCTCTCCTTTGCAACATGGATTCCTAACGAATCGGTCTTGTACAACTCAATTGGTTCAAGTGCTCCACACCCTGGGTCAAAACCTTGACAAAAACATCCAAACTGACGTCATCTACCTGGATTTCTCCAAGCTTTCGACAGTGTAGATCACCGTATTATATTGTCGAAGCTAAAGTTGCATGGGGTTGAAGGTCGATGCCTAGACTGGCTCACTGATTATCTTACGGGTAGAATGCAGAGAGTGGTAGTTGACGGCGTGGCATCAAACTGGTCACATGTTACCTCTGGTGTCCCACAAGGAAGCATTTTGGGGCCACTGCTCTTTGTACTATTTATCAACGACCTGCCAGACACAATACCTACTGACATAAATGTCGCCTTATACGCTGATGATACCAAAGCTTACAACAGTGTAAAGTTGATCCAACATCTACAGCAAGCACTATTCTTCTTGGACAGCTGGAGTACTAGAAATCACTGATTCAATGAATCCAAATGTTAATCGAAGAAACATCAAATATTGTTGACTATTTTGCAACTATAAACTTGGTTCAACAGATCTGCTTAAGGCCAAAGAGAGAAAGACCTTGGTGTCACAAAATTGCGACACTTCGAGTTGGAACCACATATTCAAAATATAGTGAGTAAAGCAAATAAGCTGTTCGAAAAGAACTTGCCCTCTCTTAACGCAAATGTCCGTCGATCACTCTATTATCCATTGTGAAATCTCACCCATATGCCCCGTTGTCGGTATGACAGAAATTACAGTGTAAGAAAAATATCCACTGCGTATGAATACGCTTAATTAAGTTGAATATGTTGCGTTATGAGAGAACAAAACTATTTTCTTACGTTTTGCTTTGTTGAGAAATGACATCTCCTTCTTTTTCGTTTAAGTTGATGCGATTGAAAATAGCTAGTAAACAACAATTCAACTTTGAACTTTGAAACTACGTAATTGCCTAAATTAATAATTTAACATGAAATTTTCATTTGACCAACCGTTAAGTGTTTGTAGACTGTTCCAGGACTATATTTGTAATATTTATTTATTTTTTATTCTGTCATCTCACAGGATTATTTTTTTGAACAACTTCTCGTTTATTACTTCGAACTCAGTAGAATGCCAATAAAATAGATGAAACTTTAATCAAACTTTCCAAATTAATAATTTAACATGAAATTGTCATTTGATTAAGTAGCTCCAGGACTATATTGTATTTCTGTCGTCTCACAGGATTATTTCTTTGAACACTACTCGTAACATCGAATTACCCCATAGTAGATGAGACAGGTAAAAGGGAAAATAATGGAACTAGTAATAATTTATCAGCTTGGGGGGGGGGGGGATTTTTGGGGTTTCATGGCTTTTAGGGGGAACGGAGGGGGGGAATCTGTCCTCGCCAACAGAGTATAAAAGGGGAAGTATAAAACATTGAATGTCAATTAACTACCAATGGAGGGGATGGGGGGGGGGGGAGGAGGGGGGCTGGGGAATATTCGTAAAAATATTACAGAGCCATATGTTTTACGAGGGATATAAGCCATACCTTGATCATTCAAAATCTGTCAACAGATCAGTTATTATTTACACATGGTTTTCAGGGGAACCGAAGGGATCAGTCGTCGGGAAACGAGAAATTTAGAAGAGAAATGTTTTAATTGGAAGTCACATGGTTTTCAGGGAATAAATCCTTTGCAACGTTTTTCACACTTTTTAAGAAGGGCAGGTCAGAGTCGCCAAAAGAGTATGAAATGAGAAATTTAGAACAATGAATGTCAATTAACTGAGAATAATGACCTCCACTCAGGTTGTCTCAACTACCGATCGACTGCAGGCTTCTCAAGACCACACTCACCCGGACTATCAGACTACACAATCACATTTCATTTATTTTTAGAAGCGACATGCCATAATTTCAGTTTTACATTACACTAAATTTTTTTTATCCGTGTGATTGTATGAATATTGTGCACTCTAGGTTTGTCTCGGCTAATTACACTCTGGTTTTCTCGATGTTGCCTTCTATTTAAAGTCAGATCCAGAACAGAGCAATGTAATGCTTATGTTCACTAAATGTCAGTATCAACTCATTTCAATAAGTTAGCAGCAACTACATAAGCTTACGCTGGCATAATACCGACGGTAATATATTGGAGATTATTCCATGGGAAGTGCGAACAAAAGATTTTTATTCACGAAACGAGTGGACAAGAATCGTTCAGTACTTTCTGTGGTATGATGTTTTTATTTCATACATACCGATATTTTTCACATTTCATTGAAAGTCGCAGGTTCAGAGCTACCATAAATTGAGATGAAACTTAAATTGCTTGGCACTGTCAAAAGGAAAAAGACAGTAGAAAATTGTAAAAAATGCATGGATCATGGAAGTCATCACATTCCCATCTGTCTCCTTTTGGACTTGTCATCCAGTGATGTAATCCTCCAATAAACATAGGAACATCGTACAACTCACGTCTCCCCACGATGCCCCATGTGTCAGACCTGTATGCAGAATTTTTTTTCCCCACCACCTGCAATTCTTGGCGAGCTCTGAATCGTCGTCTTCCATTTTCTGAAATGATCCACAAGAAGTCGGCACCGTCTCAGTTTGACCTGTGAAGTACTGGATTACAGCTTCGCCTTTTTCATCGGTCTTTGTAACTATATGGAAGGTGCTTCCATTTTTCTTATGGCGGTGAAATCTCAACTGAGTGAAATGAATGTGGGTTCTGAGCTTATGAAGCGCACTGTTAGTCAATAAAGTCTGGTTATTTTGATAGTTGTCTATCACTCGGTAATCCTCCTTAACTGGCAAGTTGGCTTGGTGGTTGAACACGATGTTGAAGATAAGAAGCCATCCCCCTGAAATAATTGGCACAGTGAAAATTGATGAAATATCTAAAATTTTCAACCTTTCTCAGATCTTTTTTCGCTGTTTTTTACCTAAGCAAATATAATCCTCTTATCAATATGATGTTTATTTGGCCCTGAAAAGCATATAAGTATAGGTAATCACATGATTTCGAATAGTTTGGAATAGATAAGCACGAGTAAATTGCACGAGCCCGTAGCGCATCGGGTGCAAAAATGATTTATTCAAACCTGTGTATTCGGTCAAAACAACCGCGTACGATCAAAACAGTAATATACAATGACATTTTTACATCCAGAAGGCGCAATTAAGTTCAAAGTCCGGTTAAACAGTTCAAACAATTGATCAGTCTGTGTCTGAATCACTTTCGATGGAATGGAATCTTCGTTTGCGAGGTTTAACCATGTTTGTTTTTTAATTTCGGCGTAGAATCGCTCGAGCAAAGTGTTAGCTGAAGGCTCGTAATTTTGATTTCCTTGGCAATTCCCTTCTCTAAACACCACTTTTTCCAAACCAACAACCAAAAAGCAGTGCTTTTTAAAGCGTTTTCGTTGTTAGAGCTGTTTTTCAGCTGCTGAAAACCTACTTAAAACGCTGGCCATTGTTTCGCTCGCAAATTTTCAGCGTAGCCAAATGTTGCGACATCCAAGGCTTGCATATGATTGGCTATCTGTGAGTTTCTTTGATTATTGACCAATCAGAATGTCTGGTTTGTTACTTTCTTTGCATTGAATTAACCCTCTTCTACATTGAGTTACCTGAAAACTGCATTTATCTTAACCAATCAGAACTGAGTAATTTTTTCATGTATATTATTAATCTTAAAACAGATAACGACGTTTATTTCTGAACTACACGCGCTCGAGAAGAATTTTCATACACCTGCAGCATCTAATATTACAGAGGGCTATACGTCCTTTTACCAAAAGACCTAAGATAACAGGTCGCCATTATATATATAAAAAAACACAAAACAAAACAAAGCAGGGTATAAAATCAGATTTAATTCTCTTATTACCTCCGTGAGTTGTCATATCACAGTAGACTTTCATAGGGTTTCCGTTGCCCTCTGGGTCTATCCAGTACTCTCCGTTAATCAAGGGATGCTCAGTCCTCCTTATGTCCATACAAGATCGCCCGGGTTTTAATGAGTGAAATCCTCGTCTCTCTAGAAAGAAATGGAAGTAAATTAGACGTGGAAAAATTGCGTTGATCTGTAAAGACTGTTTCTAGTCATTGTCAGCTTTTTCCAGAAACTGTGAAACGAGGGAAAAATGAGGAGAAACGAGGAGCGAAAAGAGAGAAAATTTAATAAATGAGAAACTAATTTTGACCACCAAGTTGCAGCAAGAGACTAACTGACAAGAAACGAGTCACAACGAGAGGCTTTGCTATACTCTCTTCTCAGTGCAAGTCTAAAGAAACCAAAAACCGTGGACGAGAATTGCAACGAGAAATTGAAGCAGCAAAAATATTAATAAACGAGTCGCAAGATACCAACAACGAGAAACAGGGAATGTAAAAGACTAAACCAGAAATGATTAAACAGCTATTGAGTAACATGCTTAGAAACGGAATACGAAGAATTTACAAAGTGGATAACGAAATGATTGCCATCGAGCTTAGCTTCGCTCCTACCCTTTCCATAATAGGTGAATCCATTGGCTGGTATTAGGGTCACTGGGCTAAGGTGCCACGTTTGGTCGTTCAGCTCACAACATTTATTACCATAGTAATTGTATGACCAGCATTTCCTGTTCCTTACACATCGTAATCCACATTCGAACGCGTCAGCGTTACAAGTTTCAATGACGTGTCCCACAAGCATAAAGTATGGAATTATAAGCAACACAGAAAAGATCGATCAATGTATGAAGCAACAAAGCACGGTTAAAATTGCACACCGTCACATAGAACTCTTTCTGTAAAGGAAGACGTTGACCTGTATCACGGTAATTGGACAAAGAACCCCTGCTCACGCTGCCGGATATTTTGACAACTAAGGTTTAGAACACTCTTTTCGTGAGCTAGGCAATATCGACCTCATTATTAGAGAGCCCTTTTTTGCACTCTCTTTTATAATAAGTTTACTATGTATTTCCTTTTTTAAATGGTTCGCTGAGGTTAACTTAAACTAGCTATACTGTTGTATTTAGATTCTTGTACATTGTCAGATAAAGTGGGTATCCCTAACAGGTCGCGTTGCATTGAGCAATAGTGTTCTGTCATGTTATTGTGTTGCAGGGTGTGCTATCATTTGTCTTCTTACCATCATCTGTGAAAAAGGAAAGGTTTGTGGCCTTATAACTCAGCTCACAAAGGTGCCAAACTAGTATATGGAGGGCGTGGGCCGTTGGAACCTTGGTATTCTCTTACTTTTCTTTCTGCTACGACTGCTATTGCAATTGACCTATGCAGATCAATTTTCGACTAGTTATAACCCGCACGTCTTTAAAAACATGTCATAAACACTAGTTTCACGACCTCCTAGTTGTAAAATTTAAAGGCTTACATAACTCACCGTTGCGACTTTTAAAAACCTGATTTTGCTCCGAGACCATGTAATATGCTGTTCTGATGGCAAAACTTTCCGCGTAGGTTATAAGTAGTACTGTGATAATCACAGGCCAGCACGACTGTACTCTCATCTCCTTGGCGATAAAACCAAACATTAGGTTGAAGTGTTAAGAGTGAAGTGGTGAACAAGGACAAGTGGTGTCCTCACTTATTCAAATTCTAAAATCATAGATACTATGAGTACCCCTTTCTTTTGCTTCTAACTGTTAGTCAAGAGAACTAGGGTTCTTATCCAGACATCGGAGCTTTCAGTAAGTTTTCGTCAACTCTCTTATCTGCGTAGTGATGTGTTGATATTGTCAGGGGCAGATATACGTTCAAACACAAATAAACTGAATAATTTATGGCTCAATCGTGAGATTGGATGTCAGTTACTTCTGGCCATATGAGTCCCGAGGGAAAGATAAGCCAGTGATTCAGTGGGACCATAACCGCAGTACAGCCTTAAAACCTAACGCTGAGTGGCTCAATTCTGATTAACGGGATGATATATTTGGCAATAAACCCACACTCTGAATTAGTTCTTGCTGCTAAACTTGATTCCTAATTACCTCGAATATAAACTCACTAGGAAAAATTTTCACCAATTTCCATAACATTCGTTGAGTTTATGAATGGAAAGCAGCCGGAGGCAGTTCTTTAATAATGTAGAAGTAGAATTGGCGAAGTTATAACGAATGGATATTAGGAGGAAAATTCAAGTCTGTGATAAATTAAATCTAGGAGCCATGGGCACATTTGAACAGATTCTCTCATTAACAGGGAGTTGTTTGGGTGCCAAGATATGTAACTCCGTCTATGCTTTCTTTGCCGCCATTTCAAATATATTTGCAACTGTAGAAATAAATATCCTCCCAATGCTTATTAATGCAGAAAGAAGTTTTCTTTACCATTTCGTCTCCAGTGCTTTAGAAAAGGCATTGGTGAAATTCTAAAGTAAAAAACCCAATCTCAGTCGTGTCAGATCTATGAAAATGGGAAATTTATAGGTAAGAATTGGAACATGTACATAACATGTACAAATCTCACCTAGTGCGTTAGCTTTTTTTCTTGATAAGCCCCATTACTTTGCATCGATCCTTTTTTAGTTAATGATATAGACTCAAACAACTAATCCTCTTCTAATAGTTTGAAGCCAGTGTAGTTTCCCGAGGCTGATAAAAAAAATTCTAACAATACGTCGGTCGGTTTCTTGAACTAAAAAGCGATTTCTCTTTCAGAATTCGCAAACGTTTGTGTAGTTGTTCCGGTTCGGACAACAATTAACCTTTTGAAAATGAACTGCTAACCTTTTTCCACAGAGAAATTTGCTCCTTGAAAGTTATTCTTCCGGTCTGAAAGAACAATTTTTTTTGCCACGCATGAAAATCTTATGGCAAATTATAATGGAAAGAAAAAATGGATCTTGTACCTTTCCAACAAAGCTCTGAGTGTCGTCTGCGACCAATCTACTCAATAATGTATCAATGTTGATGGCAAACTAATCTATAACTTCACGTAGTTCAATAAAAGTTCCAGCTAATTTATGTTTTGATCTTACGAAAATCAAACATTTGATTACTTCATCACTGTCGTTGCCAATTATTTAAAAAGCTGTGCAAAGGATGTTTTCAAAAACTTTCCATCTTATTAAAAACTTGCAAGACATGCCATATGTCAACTTCAATACCGTTCTCAAATTAAGTAATCGTTAATTTTTTGGTTGTCCTGGAGTAAAAATTCGCTTGCAGAATGAAAGGAGAATAACATGTTCCATCCACTATTAATTTATCTCCTATTTTCATCACCCCTAGTATCACTACTTAATACTTAAACGCGAAATTCCGAGGCAAAAAAGAAAAGCGAATTTTACACACTTAGACAGTTGATTTCGGTAAATCCTTGATCAAAACAAATTCACTAATTTCCCTCTTTCATACACCTGAAATTACCGTGATAGGAAAATATCTACTTTGTATGGATAAACGGAACGTAGAAGGCACGATTCAATTTGCCTTGGTTTGCTTTGTTTGAAATGCCTTCTCTTTTTGTACTTTGGTGTTGATGAAAAAAAAGTCAATAGAACTTTGATATTTTATTAGGTTATAATTGCTTAAATTCATATTCAACATTAAATAACCCTCCAATTTTGCGGTTTGATGACTAAATTGCATTTCTTTAGAATTAAAACTAACAAAATATCCACATAGATGTGCTTATACAATAACAATAATATATTATAACCCTTAAACTCCCAAGATCCGATTGCTGATTCTCTCCTCTGGCTGCTACACATTTCCCTGTAAATTATATATGAGACTTGGTGCTAGCTCAAGATAGCAGCTTCCATCTGATAATTTCGAATACTCTCTTTAACTGTTTGCTGTATAGTGCATGGATATTATAGGGAAAGTTTCGTGTTAATAACATTTGGGAGTAAATGGGTTAACAGGCAGATGGAATTATAAACAATTTCAAGAGCGTAGGACATAAGGAAAATAAAGTATCACGCAGATTAGATCGAAATTTATGAAGTTCAATCCCCATTTTCCATCGAGTTATGAACCGTCATTTTCCCAGTTGAGAAGTTTGGTCGTTCATTCTTTCGAACGAGTTATATGAGGAGAGAGGATCATCCGGCTGTCAGCTGAAGTGCTGGATGAGAGTTTCACCAGTGCTGTTAGCAGCCGTGATCACGAGGAACGTGCGTCCCTATTGTTTGTTACCGTAACAGTAGAAACGCGGTGGTGTACAATTTGGGCAGGCGATTAATATTGGATCTGTCGATCAAGTGTTGCATTGCTTTGATATGATAATGTTGTTATGGCAACAACATATGACGTCGTAACATAGCTTCAGAGGTAATTCTTCTCGTTTCTACGGTGTGGCAATGTAACTCCTTAGTAACTTTTGGGAAGAACAAACAGGATGGAAGTCATCTTGCTGATCATATTCAATAGATAGAAAGTTATCCTTGTGCAGCTAATAGAAAAATGATTTTCACCGCTACTTAAGTGGTGTTCATAACTGCGAGGATCGCTTCCATATTCGTTTTTTTCAACCGCAGTTCACATATACGATTTTCGTATATTTGCATTCATTTATTCACCACTTCGAGGGTTTATTTGGAACCAACAGCTCAGTTGTTAGAGCACTGCACCGGTATCGCAGAGGTCATGAGTTCAAATCCCGTACAGGCCTGATTGTTTTCAGGCCATATTTTCACTATTTCTTTCGTAGTGTTCATAACCGCGAGGATCGCTTCCGCATTACACAAATGATTTATCATCAATTAACTCGCATGCAGCCCGAGGAATGAGCAAATTCAACGAAGTACTCTGAACAAAAGCGTATTGCATTGTCCACTGTTTATAGAGAATTAAGGAATTAATCAGCTTGAATAAAAAAATTGGTCACGCCCAGAATCTTTAAATTATATGACATTGGAAGAATATTATCTGCTAGGTTATATGCTCTGATTACATCCGTATGCTATTATAATAGTATTTTTTAAAAAGGTAAGTTTCTACTTCGAAATGAAGAGGCTTAAATTATGTCTTTAGGAATAAGCGGTTTCCATTGTACGAATCAAGAACGAAATTCATGGAAAGCCATGTTTTGAGTGCGGGTTCGAAAGTGTTATAAAATATTGTCTTTAGGTAGGAGAAAAAAACCTGAGATAATCATTTGTAAGAGTGTAAGGTTGAAATTTCTGGCGTCTCTGCTTTATAATGTCCAAGTTAAGCGTTTTCAATATTAATGTTATACAGAAAGGACAATTTTCTATACTAATTTTATTAAGAAACGATAATTTTCTATATTAATTTTATACAGAAACGATAATTTTCTCTATTAATTTTATACAGAAACGATAATTTTCTACATTAATTTTATACAGAAACGATAATAGGGTGGATAATGGCACACTTTCAGTATAATCGTAGACTATTTTTCACACAAGTATTTGAGCTCTTTTAATGTGATAATACAAAAAAAGAGAGAGGTTATAATTTGGTTATAATGTTCGCTACATCGTGCACCTGTAAGCAAATGGGTGCCTGCTTTTCACCTTACTTTAGAAGGGAATTTATTATGGTAATAGGACCGAGTGGAGTCCAATTCGGTCTGTTATCATACGAGTGATTAACAAAATTGGACCATCTCGGAGCGGGAGTCCGATTTGTGAGTCCGATTATCGAATGTGATTATAGACAGAATTGCACGACAAGAAGGCCTGTTACCAATAACTCAAAAATGTGACAAAATTTGAGAAAAGAAAGTAGATATCGGTTATACGTTTTCATAAAAACTGGCAACAGTTAACCCGTCGAAATGCGAGACAACACCGCACGCACATGACGTGTTCTGTCCACTTTCACAGGCATGACGTGTTAACTGTCCCTTTAACTGTCCTATTACACTGTCTAATTACAAGCATGACGCGTATACTGTCCAATAAGTACTCAAATCGGGCTGGTGATAACCAATCACATTCGAGAATTTTTGTAATAGTTTGTCACAGTAGTACTTTCCAAATTTACCTCAAGTTTGTACCCGGACCAACACAACTTTGCAAACACTTTGAATTGAATATTCCCTTGTGAATAGCATACAAAACAAAGGGCTTAGACCTTGAACCATTGGGTTACTGGAGGTCTTCTTGTCAGTTTAATTGGTAAGGCAAACTGATTCTTAACAACAATTTTAGCTTCGCGTCCCTTTTATCCAGACTAATCTTCTGAAGATTTTATTTTAACTCTTAGCGAAAGAGGATTTTCTTGGAATGATATTGCCATGGCTACAAGATCTGACTCCATGAAATGAGTTCGGTTGTGTTACGTCATATTTCGGTAAAATGGAAATTTCCGTAAAATCAAGGATGGCAGCCATCTTGAACGCCATCATTGCGGATGACTTCACGTTCTGAAATAGCCTGAAAACACACCTACCATTAATTGGTGCACAAAATTATGTAGATCGAGGGCTAAATGGAATTTAAACAGACTTAAAACTAAAAAACTATTTACAAATTTCTTACAGTGTACAAAATTCCAAGATCTCGTTGGTCAACAGGGGGTTCCTACATGTAATGAACGATTTGTTGGGTTTTTGACTTTTTTCCCGTTGAAGAAGTTTGGACCATTGCCAGATCGATGGACATGTACTGTTTGGCTGTGATCTACAACTGTGCAAGGAATGGCTCAGGAATCAAGAGGTGTTTTGTATGGGTTTCCTGACGGATATTTGATCCTGTTTACGAGGTGCCCTCATGGAAACAGGCATATGCACTCGGAGTTTCAACGCACATAAACTTTCCAAACATCACCGGGCGATATCGCTATTAAATTACTTCCATTATCATCATCACACCACCATTTACCCAAAACGGCCACCCAATAATATTCCTGTGGAATGAAAGCTGCGTGATTGTACATCCTACGCTCTCCACGGTGTTTATAATGTCCCCACTTTCCAGCGTATTTTGAGCCGTCATTTCCCCATCTATCACACTTTGAAGCTAATCGGGAGTTATCTCCTTGCATTCTTTCAAATGAGTAGCAAGAAGAGGGGAGAACGTCCGTCTGGCCGCTGAAGTACTGGACCACAGCTTCACCAGAGCTGTTAGCAGCTGTTGTCACGTGGAAAGTGCGTCCTTGTTGTTTGCTGCAGTAGAATCTTAGTTGCGTGAAAGACAAGTGGCTTCTGAGTTCTCTCATGGCGCTCAGTCTGATACCCATTTCGTTGTTGGCAAAGTTGCTGATCCCGCGGTATGATGTCTCAGTGGTCCATTTTTTGGGCGGTTTAGAGCTGAGCATCTCCAAGTTAGCGACAAGAAGCCAGCCACCTGTTACAAACATCACTTTTAAATCGATTCGTTGCAATGTAAATGGTTTAAACAATTCGATACCGAATACTGAGCGTGGAAAAGACAAGGAAAAGCTTGAAAAGATTACTAGATAAGTTATAAGCTTTTACCTCCGTCGGTTGTCATGTCACAGAAAACTTTCAAAGGATTTCCATTTTTCTCAGGGTCGATCCAGTACTCCCCGTCTTCCAGGGAAACTCTCGACTCACGAATGTGTTTACAGGAGTCACCAGGTGAGGAGGAGCTCGATCCAATATTTTCTAATGATCGTAAGAATAAAAAATCATTCAATAGGTTAAATTTTTCATCTTTTTTTTCGAACAAAATAATGAATTTCTTCTTTTTTCTACCATTTCCTATTGTTGAGAAATTCATTTGTTGTTCATCTCGAGAAATGAAGCCAAACTATTCCGCAAACAAATCCGCGTTAATCTTTTCTATCCTCGACAATCATTGTGTCTTCATGTTTTATTCTTCATCAGGTGGTAGAGCTTTTCTTTCTTACTGAACTTATACTTTTGCTGCCGTGTCAAGGGTAATTTTGCAATTCGTAGGAAGCAATTATGATTTGCTTCTGTATATAAGACTTCTTGTACATCTCTGTGCTGCGTTTCGTGATTCGGCGCACCACTGAGTGCATCGGCAGTTAACGCGGATCCCATCGAAACAAATCAACTTATTGAAACTGTGCTAGCATTTGTGAGGAGCATCAAGCAAATCTGTAAACTGTCATCAGAAATACTGCACCGAGTTCTTTCTTTCTGCACATTCTGGGGTGAATTGTTAGATCAGTGACGGTACTCGACTCAAGTTTCACTCACCTGATTGGTTGATGGTTCCACTAGATCCAGAGTTATTCGGTTGATGACTCCACCTCCCAAGGTCTTCACGAACAAAATTTGAGTTTATGACCTGCAGCTGGTGAGGAGAGACATTGAAACTGCATAAATTAAAGCGTACATTCGCGGACACTTTCATCCCTATTGTCAGACAAGTTATATTTTGCCCCTCTTCTTAGAGGATATTCTACTTCAGAACACTCTGATTTGCATGGTGGATAATGAAAAGAAAGACTGAGGAACACAAACATAACGCGTGTTTTTCTTACAGTATACGTTAATTTGCACCGAGTTTTCGCTCCAAATTTTTTGGACCTCGACCCTTTGGGTTGAAAATCAGCTGCTATTGCACAATTTGTAACTTGTGATGCTTGCCGAAAGTATAAAAGTAATCGAAATCTCCTCAATAGTTTCTTGAACTGGCCAATTTAAAGAGGGACTTTTAGAACCTTTCTGTGCATCATAAAGGACGAGGACATTCTATTTTGCCAAAACCGAAAATGTGAATGCAAGTTCGGCAGTGATTCTGTGGTTCTGCCAATTATAGCGCTGCTCTCACACTTAAAGGTACACGACTATTTTTATCATTTTGAATTGGTTTATTGATAAAGGTTTTTGCTCTCTTCTATGGTCAAAACCCTCTGACCGTTCATCAGTCGTACTGACAAATTTACACCTTTTTAGTCTGTACTTAAACATGTCTTTTGATCGGGATTCGTTTTTAAATCTTTTCAATTTTTCAGATTTGCCATTAACCCCCTATCCCTTTCACAGATCGCAGGACTTCCTAAATATTATCAGAACAAAAACAAAACAAAACAAATATTATTGAAGCTTTACGATTGAATTCTCTCTCTGTGATAAATTTTAGCTGTATGTTTTTGTTTAGAAGCATTTAGAACTATTACGATCATCGCGGTCTCTGTGAGTCTGGTATCTGACGATGGGAAACAACAAACCTGCAGTACTTCAAAGTAGGTTACACCCTGATTTGCCACAAAGTCTTTTGGTTTGGACCTTCTTGTTTCGTTGTTTAAATAGCACATGGAACCGAGGCTCTGAGCACGAAAACAGTTATACGATCGACATCTCTCGTTTCTCAAACACCGCAATCCACACTCCACATCTTTGCTGTTACACACACTGATCACGTGCCCATGTAAGGAGTAACCTGCAGATTAAAGAACAGATCTAAATCTTTTCATCTTGAATGAGCAGGTGAATATTTGTGATCATGACGCTGATGTGGAAATACAAATGATAGAGAAAATCACGGTTAACTGTTATAAGATGATCGAAAATAAAGTGGTTCGACTCCCACTTTGAATATTCCAATTTCTTTTTCCCGGAGAAGTCCAAAGTTTTTAGACTCGATCAGTTTAGAGACAGGCCAGTCACCTTACAGTGCTTTTTTCATAAAGTATAAAATGTTCTTTCTCCTACCTTCGTATCTTTCAAAGACACCTGAAGCTGATTCTGTGCAAAATACGAAAGGTACTTTAAAACTGCAAAAGAAACTGATCTGAAGCAAACACTGCAAAGCTGTTACGATATTTTTGATTCGTCTCGTCATAGTGCTTTGAAAAGACTGCAGAGAGCTCGTGCTTTCGACAGCGATAGGAAAACAGTAGTGGATTCTCTTCTTTCTAATGAAAGATACTACGATATTTCTAACTTGCAGGTTTCCTTTAATTGTTTACTTTATGACGATACGACATTAACCTTCAATCGATTGCGGTAAGAGAACTTAGTCTATTCTTTTTAAATAGTAGAACGATATAAAATATTAATGGTGAAAATAAGTAATCATAAGGGAAAACATGTTTGCTTTTTGTGAGTGAATAGCAAGCTTTGAAACAAAAGACGAAAAGCATAGCGTCAATAAAAAAAATTACTTGTTCATAAAATATAGGTGCCGCCCCTAAATTTTAGATTTCCAACAGTTTTCCTATTTTTGCCAATAGGCACTGAATCAGACAAGTTGCCTGATGCTGTCTCAACCATGAGAACCTCGAAATGGATGCCGCTCTATAAAAAGACTTCTTGTTCAGCGTCAAGTGACTTCTTCAAATGATTTAATGTTGAGGAACTTTCTGAGTACTCGCTTTATTCCGCCTAAGCTACGTGATTTGTCGATGCAACGAAACGTGAAATTTGTAAATATATGTATCCTTCATTAATAACAGCGTGATTCAGCAGAGAAACTCTTTTAACTTGGATAACTATCGAGAGCCGGGGAGTCAAGTTTAATCAAAGTGCTATTAAAAGGAACTAATGCGTCATAATTACTTTGATGAAGTCGACGTCTTACTGAGTAAGAATTTACTATACATCAAAACGAATCACATATAACAAGAAGAATTCGCCAGCTCCGAAAGCTCCTCCCTCTGACGCCGGCGACGTTCAAATTAACACCAGTTGAAGGCAGGCCATTAATTTGACAAATGAGAACCACAGGAACTTAAAACCTTCATCAAAACTTAATGAAAATGTGCACAGTATGATTTTTCAGAAATGTCTCCTGGTAAACTTGCTATTGTATGGGAATCCTGTTTTTTAAATGTCTTATTTCGACCAGTAGAGGACTTTTGCATCATGCACTGGTTACAAAAGATGCAATTTAAGGGCAGCTGATTAGTTGAACAGAAACCTGCTGTGATCAAGTTGAAATAATTGTTTTTGCTTCTTTGCACTGTAATGGTCTTTCCTATTGCAGCACAGGTCACTTTGGAACTTCCCAAAAGAGTGGTTTCTTTTGATTCACTAATTGCATTGCAATTAGTAATGATAACAGGGGCGAGTGGAGTCCAATTCGGTCTGTACTTATACGAGTGATTAACAAAATCGGACGACCGCGCAGCAGCAGTCTGATTTGTGAATCACTCGTATGATTACAGACCGAATTGAACGAAACGAAGTCCTGTTACCAATTAATCATAGCCGTTATAATTTCCGAAAAAACAAATATATTTAGAGCAAACATCTCCGGTAGAGACAATGTCTGAGGAGTAAAATACCGATATTTTGGAAATTCCCCAGTTTTTTTCAGAATAAGTGGTTGTTGCTATGGTTATTGTGATCAATTCTGTGACTGGTGGATTTAGAGTGGAGTTAACTTAGTACGATTGGCTGCTTGAACTGTCCGATTACAGCCAACTGTCTAATTAGTGAAAAATAACGCAGCCAATGCAACAATCACAAATGAGGAAATAATAGTTATGATCAAGGGAAAAACCATGTTGTCTAATTTGTTTTGTTTTTTTTTTTCTTTTTTTTTTTTTTTTTTTGCAGGCCGAGTGTTTCGGCAATGTAATTTTGCTTGGGAGAGACCTGCGTCGCGGAAAATACCCTAACTCCAGTGATGATGACTAAGAATGTTGCCATGCCACCATCGAATTAACAAATGCAAATTACGTTTCTTTATGTAAAGGCTATTCTAATGTGAAAACTACTTCGAGCCTCCTCGATATTTGGATATAAAGTAATCCTCTGGGACGATAAAAACTACCCAAAGTGCGATTCAGGCTCGATTTCTAACGCTCTTTAGAGTCCAGTCGTCGATAACACAGCAGTCGAATGTTACTCATGCGCCAGGGGAAAAGGTTCTGGCCGCCCGCGATCAAGATTCTCTTGCAAAATTCCAAAGGAAATCATAAGAAAAAACTGCTATCTTGCAAAATAAGCGAAAGAAAATTGGAAAGTTCACGGAAATTTATTTAAGTAAACAAAAGTAAAGAAAAAGAAAACTCGAGACTTAGTAAAATAACCTATTGATTGAGCCAAAAATTAGGTTAATGCTTTAAAAACATTGTCTTGTGTGGTTGTAGAAACTTAGTTCTAACTACCCGAAAGCAAGTCGCGGAGACAATACAGCGCCCGCACATGCGCAGACTTTTGACCACTGTGTTGACGCCGACCCTCCCGAAAAGGTCAGAAGCGTGGGTTCAATCCCTGGTTATAGAGCATAACTGCCACGATTACCTAGCAAAACTGCTGGGTACTTAAACCATCTTTTTTTTCTAAATGGTATCTGCAGTATGGGGGAGTGCTCTGTACTTGTGTGAACAAGAAAGCACGAGCAGGGACTAGCTAGTTACAAAAACAAAGCTCGTGCAATGCAGCAAGTTTGCTGTACGAACAGTAGTTTCCCCATTAATAACACTAACCCAAGTCGTTTCACAGGATCGAACCATTTATTGATCTTTTAATAAAACCTCAACAACAGTTCGAAGAATTTTACTGCTTGACAAATATCTCATAGCGCACAATTTCTGTAAACCGAAGCGAGTCATCCTTACATACTCATTCAGAACAGTGCAAGAATCAAAGCACTTTGAGGCTGACATTTTCTGTGATCGCAGAGTCTTAAAACAGTTCATTAAGAGCAAATTAACACGTAATAAATAACTAATTTCCTGAACTCCAATATAACCTTTTACGAAGCAAGTTTACATGCTCTATAAAAAGCAGTGCAAAAATGCAAAGACTACGAAATCAACGTAGCTTCTTTTCTATATAATCTGAACCTTTTTAAAAATAATTCATACGCTCTTTGAAATACGTTACAATTAAATGGACACAATAACCAACTTGAACTGAACATTAACGCACTAAGAAAGTGTACTGAACACATTGAACAAGAATACAGTCGTACAGTAATGCTCAAATATATCGTATAACTTCTCGTAAATCACTACACTCTTGAGTTAATTTAAACGAAGTCGCAACTTCCGAACGAGTTGAGAGGCCTTTGCAACCCTAAACGTACCCTTAACTTAAAATAAAACAAAACCTAAACAAAAATCACAACAACAAAGCTCACTAAACATTACCGAAATTAAAAATGTAAACTGATATAAATGTAATGTCAGTAGTTAATTAAATAATTATAATCTATAATTAGTCATTCCTAAATAAACATAACATTGTTTAGAGTTATAGGAGATATTGCACTTTACATTTAAGCAGTACCGTATGCAAAAAAAAAAAAAAGCTCTCTCTGGAACATTGTTAACACAAATGACATAATAATGACAGTCGCCTTATTTGTACATAAACGCTCTGGAATAGTGTACGAAATATAAAAAAATTTAATTCAATAAATAACATGCATAGACACTCTGGAATACTGCACAAAATTGATTCAAACAATTAAAAAAACTCATACTCAGTCTGACAGTTTTCCTACTTCAAATGTATATGATATGGATCTGTCAGATAATCTCCACAAAGCTGCTTTTCAGACAGTAACATATGCTAACAACCGATCTGACAATCATTGCAACCCACAGCAGGCCTTCACAATTCGTTTTCTGAAAGACATTACTTGCTGTAATACTAACTTATCCCTCTCTCCGAAGCCTTCATTTACTGACAACTTTCCTTCATTAACTTTCAACTGCTTATTTTTTTTTTGTTCCTCAACAGTTGTAGTCGCGGACCAATTTTTTATACTGCGATAACTAAATGCTGATATTAATTTCAACGATTTATCATCACATTTAAAAACTTTCAAAGGGACCGCAAGATGACACTTGTGTCCTTTCCAAATAACAATTTTCTAGTCATTTCTTAAGGGTGTACAAAAATATTCTTTCCATGGTGAAATAATAGTCTTAAAATGAGCATCTGTACATATTCTTCTAGAAATACTGTACAAATGTTATTCAAAATGTAAGCTTCAAATAATCATAAAAAATATATCACCTATGAAATTTTCATGTTCCTATTCGCCATGTACTTTGTACATATCCACTCTGGAACAGTGTACAAAAATGATTGATTTAAAAAATTGACTTAAACATGGATTCCATGCAGGTAACTAACATGTTCGCCTTGGAACAGTGTTTGAGAATTTTGATAGAAAATTTAGGGTTTTTACTAGCTAATTTTGAATTAAAGAATATGAACAATTCTTGAACTAAGTTCACTTCTCTTGTAATTGAACATTAACCATTGAGGGAAACATTTTGAGGGTGACTTTTCCATAAAATTAATTAAGTCTACAATCTTATTTACATTTAATTTAACTCATGTCTTCACTGTGACAGTGCACAAACTTATTCAAATTTCTCCCAAAATAATAACTGACATAAGGGTCCCAAAATAAATTGTACATCTTCACAGGGACAGCTTACAATAATATTTTCACCATGGTTTGTTAATATTACCCCCACAATTCTGTAAATGTGCTATTTGGAACTATTGACTAATTTTAACATTTTTGGGGTGGTAGCTTGATTGGATGTGAGATTCCACTATCCACACTAATTTTTGGGAAAAGTATTAAGGGTAGAAAGAAAATTCATCCTTCTGTTTATGACACTCGTCTGCCATAATCTTGTGTACGATGAACTTGGTGTTCATGATTGTGCAGGCCTACCTGCCAACTAAACATGATCACAGTAATTATTTCAAAGAAATGGTATCCACTCTTTGGTACGTGATAATTGGATATGTGATCCGCACGTTCTGATTCTTGACATTTCACTTCTAGCACCTGAAATTCCACTCTGGCCAAAACAAAGTTTTTAACGCCCTCTCTTTTGAGTTTGGATCATTCCCTGACAGGAAAATAAGCTGTCAACTTACAGCACTATTCTGTCATTTCCACCTGAGCTTTCTGTTCAGCCTTGTTTACACAGCACACTTATTGTGGAATTTCATTTCTTCTAAACTGTGTTTTCTGGGAGGTACACCATACATGAGCCTGTCATAGAGAAAAAAGAGCAGAAAAAAGTGTAAGAGGTGTGAAACACCATAACTCTATTGAGTAGCACCACCCCTCAGACAAATGCCCCCAAGACAAAACTGGGCATCCCTTCTGTCTGGCCAAATGCCCCCATTAATCTCCTCCTGTTCTAAAAGACAACTCATTTCTTGCCAAACTAAGTGTATTATCAGCATTAATTGGATGAGTTTGAGCATGATACCTTAAATGATCAAAACCCAGGCCTGAATTATCGCACAGACACAAGGTTTGATAATTCATGACACCATGTGAAAACCAAATACAATAATCGTTTTAGCATAGTTACATTTTTTTAAACAATCTGCAAAAGAAGACACTCTGAGAATGATGGGGCTCGGAAACTAGGCAGAGTTTGAACTTGACATGGTAAATGCAATATCTGCCGTAGATATTAGATTATCATCTCAACGTCACGCAATCCAAGATGGCGCTACGTGATAAAGGTGTACCAGATCTTTCACAGTAAATCCAACGTATAATAATGACAGTTACAAGATTGGCTCATTTCTAACATACTTTCTTTGTTGACAACAAATACCAGCTGCACCCCCAACAATACATTAGAATAAGCTTTGTGTAATCATAAACAATTGAGGCTGCTTGTATTTTCTTCTTGTGCAAATGCTTACTAAACAAAATATCAATCTCTAGCCACAGTTTGGGAAAAATGAGTTGCCTCCATCAGATAAGCACCCCATCTCCCTGCAATTTTAACCAAAATTTGATATAGGTACCCAAGGTGCTTATTCAAGGATTTGCAGTTCACCAGGTTGATTCAATATTCAGTTGTGTAGTGAACACTGATCCTTAGGATAAACTCACTTGAATTCTTGATTGTACAAATTCTCATCCACCACAGCAGTAGTTAATGGGATGGAAGTGTCATGAGTACTTGGAAATTTGTCACAACTGAAGGTCAAAAAATATCTAAAAGTTACTGTTTGTTTCAACCTAAGTTGAAACTGTAGAATAGAGTTAATCATGAACCTTTTCATTCTTGGAAAATTGAAATTCAGCTAAACTTCTTAGAGTGGTAAATCACCAAATGGTTGATAAATCTGTGTGCAAGTGATGGACCCAGTGGAAAGGCCTAGCCTACCACAAGTCTCCTAGAGCTTAGTGGTAGAGCATACGAAGTACTAACTGGAAGGTGAAAGGTTTTGCTCCTGCTGGAAGCACTCAGAGTTCTTTTTCTCCAAGTGAGCCCATGTCATTCAATGGAATCCATCATCTTTCTGTTAAATCACTAAGCTTAATATTTTCCATTTTCTTTTACACCATCAAGTGAAATATTATTGTTTGTGCAGTAGTTCCTCACAACCCTATCACATCTCTACAAACAATGTACACTGTAACAATTCAAACTACACTGCACAGGGAAGCATTTTACAATAGTCACAACCCCTTGAAATTTCTCACCTGCTCTGCTTGCGTTGGTAAATAAATATGACAAAAATTGTCACAGGAACCATAAAAATAAATATAACTGCAGCTGTAACTGACACTGCAACAACTAAATGGCCCGACGGTTTCAGAGGCTTGGAATCCAAAGGGGAGCCCACATCTTGACGAGCCACTGTAGACACTTGAGATGACAATAGAGATCTAGGGACTCCAGCTGTTGGGGTAAAAGGTGTATTCTTCCCCTCCTCCTTACTGGGGGCCACATTGAGTGTTTTAGCTGAAAGACCAATTGGAGTAGGGGTCACTGCATCAACAGGACCTATGAAAAGAAAGAGATGATGAGTAGCACAGTCACATAGCCATTTGCTGTAACATAGTTCAAAAATAACTATTTTTTTATTTTTTCACTTTTTATCACTTTTTGACTTTAATTTTGATCAAAATGTACATTGTAATCAATATCTCTAAATATTTTTATTATTTTGCATTTATAACACTAATTTTGGTATTACCCACAATCCCTTGTGGGCATGGCACATTTTTGGTTTTTCATAAAATCTTAAGAAAATCAATGTAAAAATGGAAAAAAAGAGGTTTTGTAATCATTAGTTCACATTGAAGCAATGATTTCCTCATTTTCTTTTAAAGGGAGTTTGTAAATAGACTTTCGTCCTCTCTTTCTGACTGGTAGGTCACCGCAAATGTGACGGACAGTAGCAGCATGTACAAACGCTTTCCGTTTTTCGTCAATTGTGAAGGTCATGTCATGAATGTTCTCCCTTATGTAAAAGTGCCCCTTAAGAACTCTGTCTCCTCTGTAATAATGACACTGATAGTCATCATCAGTGTCATTATCATCCATTCATCAAGCCATGCCTTGTTAGTGCAATTCTCCTCATCATTCACAATGCAACTGATGCAGTAACATGAGCAAATCATACTGCCTGTTGCTTTTGTCATAAACTACTAACGGCTTTTGACAATGCTTTGGACAATTTCCGCCTTCTTTCGGGGTGTGGAAGGGAGTGTCTTCTTGACTTTATCTATAGCACGTTTTTTCGACGTCCGGTTTGCGAAACCTGGAGAATCCACGCTATTATTAAATTCTTGTGCTTCTGTTCGCTTCTTTTCACGGTATTTTCTAACTCTTTCTCTTGTTTGCTGCCTTGTCTTTTCTCTTTTTTCTTGTGCTGCGATACGGGAAGCTTTTCTGTGCTCCGTTGCTTTTTGTTGGCGTTTGTTTTTTTCGGCAATGCTTCGTGTGTGCGGCCGAATTGATTTTTTTTGGCTTGCAATTTCTTTCGCCGTTCTTTAACTTGAGCAATCTTTTTTGCCTTGTTTTGTTGATAATAGGCCTTGTCCCTTTCTCTTTTTGCCGCTGCTTTTCTTTCTAGCGCCGCCTTCTTTCGCGAAATACCTGAATTTAGATTGGACTCTTTTGTTTCCATCTGCTGCGGTTGAATTCCCTCAGTGTTGAAAATCGTGTAAAACATTTCACTGTTATGCAATAATCTGCCCCTGCAAACTCTGTATGGACTCCCATGTTATTGTCTGTGTAAACAAACCATGTGCTTTCAAAGAGAAGCTGCGAAGGAGCGGATTTCGTGAAAGTTTTGGTGGTGTTTTTCGCCATATTCCTTCGTCACTTTCCTTCGTTACGGTTCATGAACACGGAAACAATGGCGGAAATTGTTTCTGCGTCGACCAAACGTAAATTTCTAGCGTTAGATCTAACGAAATGGGTTGAAACGTTCTGTAAATTTAGCTTAATACAAGCCCATTCCAGGAGAGGTGAGCTTGTTTACTCAACTTAACAAGAATCGCGTCTGACAACGGATCTACTGGTGGATATGTGATGGAATTAAGCTCAATATGGCCGTTACGAAATGTGTTTCTGCGCGTTTTATTTTGATCTGGAAAACATTCTACTTGACGATTCAACTTCAGCGTTGGTTTGTAAATATTATGATGTATGCCCATTACATTTTTGTTATTAGTTTGTTGCTTACACAGTCGAAATTATCATTATTGCTAGTTTTGCACACTATGGTTGTTTTAATAGTTGCGAGCGTTACATTGTTTAGTGATAAAAACAGACGTTTATAACTTGCGTTAGAATAAACCATTCCTGTTGCAAATCATACTGCCTGTTGCTTTTGTCATAAACTACTAACGGCCAAAAAATAGTGGCCCCATGTGCGTTCTATATTGAGATATTTCATTTTTTTTCTTCCGTCTGATACATTTCATGTTACGCGTTACACCCAAAAATTCACGCATTTTCAGGAAATATTTATTTTTTACAATTTTCACTTTGTCGCAAACCTTGTTTTCTTTATACCAAAATGAAGTAGGATAACTAAGCTTATATTGTGGAAAGTGTGCGATTTAGAGGTTAAACCTTCCCGAAGATATTCGTTAGCAAAGGCACTTGAGTCCAAAATGGCGGCGTGACTGTGCTACTCATCAGATATATTTGCTTAATGTGTTGTTTCACATACCTACCATTGCATTAAATTTAGCTCCTGCTTAACCCTTAAAATCCTAAGGGTGATCATTGTGCAATTTCTCTAAAGAGTATATCTTCATAACAATAATGACAATAAAGAAAATGATCCCAAACCAAATAACTTTGATTATTAAGCAAATTCTCCACATTGCTACCAAAGTAAAAGTATGGAGATGAGTAAGGAGAATGTAGATACTGATTTTAGGGTGTACAGGATTAAGGTCAAAATAAGATCACTTGCATGGTCATATTTCTGTGTTCTTGGGGATGAATTTTACAATGCCTCCTCCACCCCAGGGAAATCAGCATGAACCAAGAAGGGTGTGGCTCATTTGTCTTTGATTGGGTGTAGTCTTTACCACCTAATTCTCTCAAAGTACCAGTACATTTAATTTTTTTTTAAAATCACATACACTTCACAATGAACATAAGAGCAGCTGTAGAATACCTATTTCTTTTGGGCGCATTGTTTCTTTTCTAAGAGTAGTATTTTTGGCTAGACGGGTTTGATGTTCTGGCGCAGCTGTTGTGGGAGTTGTTACTGTTTGCGTAGGATCTTCTTGTGGCTGAGGAATACTCTCTGCAGAGCCTGTGAAAGAAACAAAACCACTATTAATAAAAATACACTAATTTTTGTTCAGCTTACCCTTGTAATTAATGTGTCTGAATTTGCTGTAAATACTCCTACACCCCACTCAGTATTCAGTAAGTTATCACCTTAAGCTCCAGGCTTTAAGCTTATATAGGCCCCCATTCTCCCTACTACCCTCATCATTCACTCTAAAAAGTGGTTTCATCATTTCTGTTGTTGTTTTTTTTGGTGAACTTTGCTTGTTTTGGCTCAAAATTCACATGAATAAATTTCATGTACACAATCCAGTAATACACTGCTCATTAAATATGGGCACATTTTTGAAGAAAAATATCAATTTCCCTTTTAAACCCATACATGCATCCTTGTGAGCCTCCCTCTTCTAACAAATGCAACACCTCACAGGTACCAAATAAAATGACATCAATATTAACTTACAATTTTTTGGACCATATAGCTCCAGGCGCATACACACTCTAAGTCTGTATTTTACAGGATATACTCTAATATATCTTGCAGATATCTTTGGATTGAATGTGTTTGTAACAGCAGCCTCTGCATCTGTATTGCCTGCCAAAACCTGCAATGATTTACACACAGTGTATCACCATTACCAAATTTCCAGTATTAAACATTCCCCAAATAGATAATACAATCATGCTAGTAAAATCTTGAATCCTGCCACAAAAGTTAGAGGCACTCCCCAGACTGACAACAACTTTTATGCAACACTTCTGCCCCAATCAGTAAAATGTACTGATGCAACAACTTGCAAACGTTTTAGACTGATTGGAGCAAAACTGGGTCAATGTCTTGATGCATTTCAATTTTGCTTTTTGAGAGAAATGCATGCAGTTAATCATTATGATCCCTTTTCTCCTTGTAAAATACTGTGTTGTTCCCTTGCCCTCCACAAGAAAAGGAGGGAACAATGATAGTGAAATATAATACTTTTATAATACAGCTGTTGGCAGAAAGGTTGTCAGAAAAAGCAATTAATAGTAAATGCAACAGCTCTGAAAGGCATTGTGGGTAGTTTCAGGGAAACACCATTGTAAGATGCATAGCAGATTTGATGAATTTTTTGTTGTATGCAAAACTGACTTTTAATTCCAAACTTGATGAAAAATGAAAAAAAGAACAAACTCAGTGACCCTGATGAATGAAAAAAAAATGTAAACTCAACAAGAGCAAATTTAAAGTGACCTAAAGAAAAAATGTTCACAATGCAATATTATATTCTTTTATTCCTCTTGTATTCATGTGCATTTCAGTACTTATCCCCTGTTCATTAGTCCTTTTGTCCACATTTAAGTTTTTCACTTATCTAATGATAACTGGGAACCCAGATTACCTTTCCAGATTTTTGCATGCACTTTGTCCTTTTTCTGACAACCTTTGTGCAAAAAGCTGTATAATTATGAACTTCTTCAAAAGTCAATTTGGTGCAGTAACTTTCCTAGGCCTTTGGTGGCAAGAATATCCTAAAGAAATGGTTATGCAAACAAGTGCTTCCAGAAATTTTAAAGTAAATATTTAATTTATGGTTTACCTCTTTGTAGAGCTTCCAGGTAACTCTGTCATTGCTGAAGGAAACATTATACTGCATCACATAATATGCATTTACAGCTGCTCTAAATCCTTGAGTAGTAATTTCACTGATGTCCATGGACTTATTTAAGTCTATTTCGATGTATACTGGGATATCGGAGTACTTGTTGGCAGGAGAACACCATGCCAGCATATTGTTCAGACGAGCACACCCAGGATTCATATCAGCACTTTCACCACCTCCAACATACAAACGTTCATAGTGATTTGGGGAAGATAGCTGAGAGTTTGAAATTCTTCCATCCTGTAAACCCACAGGTTCTTTGCAATCTGTTTAAAATAAAGGACAAAGTTAAAGTAAAGCATCTAATCAATGGCTCATTTCTTTCAACAGGCCCATACCTGAAGGTTGGGCCATGAAAGGAAAAAAGTCCTTTGTTTAAACAGAGCAGAAAGGAAAAAACTGTGCCTCCTTGTCAAGTTTAAAGCAAGTATAATATATCATGGATGTGTACCAGTGTAAGGTGAGATCAATTTGATTAAGCAACAAATCAACAACAATATAAATGGATAAATTAAAATAATCATAAATATGGCTCCATAATTCACAAGGAACAGGCAAACGAACACTGTTTTCTCATCTGGCATGATGTAATGAGCCTGTCAATTAAGACACAACCATGATGCGGATAACTTGAAAGAGCCACAACATTAAAAGAACAATTGTACTAAGGGTCAGATGTTATATTTTTAGCCACTACATAGGTTCTTCTCCTCCTCTGATAAACAGTAAAGATATGATTTTCCATCAACTGACTGAAATGTGCCAACAACAGACTGCTTTAACAGCCAGTCTGTTATTGGATTCATGGCGAGCAAATTCATCTACATTTCCACAAAAGACACTGCCTGTACAATGCTTTCCATGACTTGAGTCATATGTTTAAATTCACTGATATCTCCGGAAAAACAAAGCTCAAAACAAATAAGTGCAATTTTTAATTACGCATCACTATCATGCAAATTGAGTGTTTACTTTTATCCAATAATTAACAAAGTCTAAATTCAAATAATAGAAGGAAAGAAATGGAAACAAACATTGAAAAAAAAGTTTTCAGATTTCAATTTTTTACATCCTATATGAGTAATGACTTAAAAACTTAGAGTATTTATCGACCTTTGTTGAAAGAAACACACAGGAGTACTTAACAGGAAATGTGCACCTTGCTCATTAGCCTTGTATTTGTACATGTATCACGTACCCCTCACGATGCAAGCCATTCTTTGATGGTAAATTAAAAATGTTTTTTTTTTAAACATAGTTTGAAATTGTACCCTTGATAACAAAAATTCCAGGTAAAGTGACTTGATTACACTGTGTTTCCCTTTACAGCCTGTGTACAGTGTACTTTGCATCACCTGTATTCTGCATGTCCATAATACGCAAATAACCTCAAGCTATCTTTAGTAAGCATCTTGACATCTAGAATTTAACGCAGATTAATCCCTGCCACAGTCTGGGGCACCACTTGATCATGGGGTCTCAAAGTCTATTAAAAAAAATATCCTCCCTGCTCTGTATTACATCAAAAATACACTTACACTTCCATGAAAAGAACTATTTCTCCAGAACAGTATAGAAGCCTATGATCAGAGAAAGGCCTCTCCTGAAGAGCCATGTTAACCAGAATATTTCTGTTTAATTTAGAGAAGATTCACACCTATTGGAAACCTCCTGCTACAATTCACAAGCCACATATTGAATGTTGATTCTGTCTTTAGAATCATGAAGAGGTTTTGTTATATATCATTTCACTGTGTTCAGCTGGCAGTTCTCAAACAACTTCTAGATTAAAAACAACAAAATGTAACCTCAGAACTGGACCAAGACTAGTAAATTACTCCATCCGCAGTAACAAAGGGCGGGAACGAGAATTCGAAAAATTAACTTGATATGCTTTAGAAGGTGACTCATAATATAAGTGTCCACTACTAATACAAAACCTGGTCAACATTGCAAAAGTACGTTCTACGAAATAAACTATCTTTGTGTTTTGTACGTGTTTTGAACAATAAACACTGACAACGGCAATAATTAAGAAAGCTACAACGCGTGCGCCATTGAGAGAACAGAGAAAAGAAATGTAACAGGGTTATTGCAAATCAATTGAGTTGAAGAAAATTATGAGAATGTTGAAAACCCTCGTAAAACTAAGCGCTAATATGAAGAAATTTTTGAGCTTCTATGGGTTATCAAAGTCGATCAATATCAAATAACCATGCCACTCTCAGCGATGCAATAACACCCACACACTACAAGCCGCCATTACGCTGATTTCAAAGTCGAAATCTTCAATCTTTCGTAATAAAAATGCAGAGGTTGCTTCTGCTCACAGAAAAAACTACGAGTTGAATTTTTCGATTAATTTAATTACAAGGAAGTAGAAAGGATTGTCCAATGCAATGAGGCCACGACGGTACTGAAAAAAAAAATCATAATACTAAACCATAATACTAACACAAAAGGTTTTCACAGAAAACCACACAAGGAAACCAGTTGCAAAATTTATGACATACTTTGTCACTTTAAAAACTTGTTGCCGGCTTTAGACAATGTGCTAGATTCTCTCATTCAGAGAAACTTTCTTTGCTAGACAGATGGCTATGAAGCGAGCGAGGTTAGAGCGATTTATTCACGTTTTCTCCACAGTTCAACTTTTGTAGATTAGCGCGCTTTTCCTTACATTTTTTTCTAACCAATAAGTAGAACCCTGTCGCTAGATTTTCTTCTCATTGTTCTGTATTTATTTACAAAGAAGAACAATCTTCACGTAACACTATGTCACTTGGTGATGTAAGGAGGATATTTTCATTCAACAGTCTTAATATACCGTACAACTTACCGTTCAAATAAGAACTAGATCCCACCCAAGTATGCGAAGATAAGCATAGAAGAAGAAGAGAGAGCGAAGCACATGAAGGATAACACCTTAAAACCATGGTGTCCCCGTCCTGCAAGAAAAAATGTACTCTTGTGACGAGCAGTACTATCGGTCATAAGCGAGGACAGCCGCTAGCTAACTTCTAACATGTGCATAAGCGCGGTTACCAAGCGCTTACACGTGATGGTTGGCATGTCAGCATGGAGAGTAATGCGGAACTGCGTCGGCTAATTTACAACCACGCAGTTTAAAAGTAATGCATACATTTGGATCAGTGCTAACAGCGTCAACATAATTCCTCAACTTAGTATACATAGATTTAGACCAATTAATTATAACTCCTTTATAAGAACTGCCGGAAAAATATCGTGTGATCATCACGATGGATAAAGTAGTTTTTAATGTACTTTTCCATCACGCTGGGATCCAAAGGAACCGATTCAGGTGTTCAAGGCTACTTTTAGCTAGTTTTGCTATAATTTCTTTGAGAATACGCGTTTCAAACTGAATCCCCAGTGATCGGTGCTATCTCCTGGCATCTTCTGAGCAGGTCGCAGTGTAGAGCCTGAAACTTCAGTGATATCATCGAACTTTAAAAGTAAAACTAAAATGGTCACATTACTTTTTAAGATCACGAGGAATAAAAAAGGGAAAACGGCACGTGAGTACTTGCACTTGTCTTATTGACAAAACCGAGCTGCTCGTATCAAAAGAGTAACTGAGAAGTCTCACAAGGTCTAGTTTCTGGGTAAACAAAAGTTTAAGGTTACTAATGCAGAGAGCAATCAGATAATACTCTGGGGAACCCAGACGACCGGTTCTTTAGGAAAATCCGCCTCTATATGCGTTTTAATACAGAGTAACACTTCCCTTGGGTGAGTTCTACTGCAGCTAAAAATTGCTGAGACAACAGTCAACATTCCAGCTGTCTTCTCTCAAGACTGATCAAAGCTGTATTGATATAAATACATAAAAAAAGAATGCCATGCTGGGAGAGAACAGCATACATGCATTGCAATCAAACTCAACCATCAAAAGTTGCTGCCATAGACTGTGGCCGATTATACACGAGTAATAAATGTTAGTCAAATTTTGTGTAAGATTTTTGGAATTCTATAGTCCAAAGAGGGAATGAAAACAAGAGAACAAAGAAATTAAAAATTAAAACCAAAAAGCTAACAAAGAAAGTACAAATTAAAACGAAAGTGACAGAATCTCTTTTCCTGCATGTCAGCTAAAGCTGTTCTTTCTCTAGGTCTTTAAGAACTGAAATATTAAAGAGCTGTGACATTAATCGCTCATTCGATTGTCGAATTTATCGAACTTTTCAGGAAGATAAATCCAATCGGATCAGGGCCTGCATGAGCCAAAGAAAAATTTCTCACAACTTGGACATAAAGCCGACAACCATCAAAGGCCATCAGGTGATTTCAAGAAGTCGCTTTTAAAGCTAGAAACGACTAACACACAAAAAAAAAAACCTAAGCAAAGCATTTCAAGGGCAACACAATGTCAATTATTCAAACAAGCTTTTACCCAGGATTTCCAGCGGGTTTCAGATCGCGTAAGTGATTCCCACAGAGCAGTGAACTGCCACGGGCATTGACTATATTTGTAGCTGTCTATTTCTATAAAATTATCAAATCCCAATACCGACGTCAACGAAACCCGGTGATATATAGTGTTTTACGGAAACAAAAGTGATAAATTTTCAAATTCGTGCTCTAAACTACCGTAAAGAACCGTAAATAAAGTACAATACAGCAAAGGGATCTACAGATATTGGATTCGTTGAAATTTCATGCGTCAACCTTATGATTAAACACCGACCAAAACGCGCGTGGTAACAGCTGATTGGTTTGTTTGTTACTTGTAGGTGATAATGGCGTAAAATAAATGTTGCTCGTGATCCTCTTCTGTCGTACAGGACGCGGGATGAGACTCAGAAGGCCCTCGCTAATTGCCGTACAAATAATAGTAAATTCACACAATATAAATAAAGGGGGTAATTTTCTAAAGAGACTGAAGTGCTGCGTCAGTGAGGGGTATTGCAAGATTATTTGGTTTTAAAAACTGAGTTGATAACGTAAGTTGGCCACCGTAGGGAGTTTCTAAACCCATTTTAAAGAAACTCAAAAAATGTGTTTTATTTTATTCTATCAAGTATTCTTACAGGTCTAGGATTTGTTATCATTAGCATGGAGTAGTGAGCCTAGCAGGAAAAGTTTCTAAAGTTTCTAAACCAAATCCTTAATTATAATGATGACCTACAAGACTTTTTTCACTCTCTGCCGCTGTTTAAAGGTTCACCACTGATTCAGATATCAACTTAGCGTTTCCGTGTTTCAATGCTTGCGGAACACACACCACAGTTTGTTTACAAAATAGACTAATCAAGGACGTATTCAAATATATCGGAATCCTTAATGACGCGGTCTGAAGTTCCTTGTATCATCAAAGGGTTTCAACCGACGTAAGTAACTTCCAACGGGAAATGCCTAAAACCATAATTGCTTCCAATCTTTTCATCAGCAGATTTATTTTAAACTTTGTTTTGTTTTGTTTCTTAGTTTTTCCGGTTTTACACTCTTCAGCGACTTTTGGAGCACTGTCACGATTGATTGCCCCTTTTTGCTCCGGGGCTTAATGAGTTTAACGTCATCAAATATAAAATATTCGCAGTTGTATGAGAGGCGTAGGCGTTGATAAGAAATAACCGCCTCTCACAAACCTTACTAATACCTGCACGTCTCAGATGTTAACCACAACATAAGAGTGCACCTTCTTTGTTGAAATCCCGTTTTAATTTGAATTCTGTCAATATATATAGCAACGCTGCTTCGTGAAAAGTTGAATGATTAAGAACAATCAATAGGGTCGAAATTTTCTGGCTGACTTCATTTCAGCGATTCTTTTCTTGTCGTCGTCGAATTTCTTTCGTAAATGCGCAATGTCTGTCCAAAAATAAGAAAAGATTTCCACCAAGAAGTGGACGTAAGTAACTGTACTGAGGGGGAGGGGAAGGGAGAGAAAGAGAACGATACTGGGGGGAGAGGGGAAGGAAGAGGAAGAGAACGATTCTGGGGGAGGGGAAGGGGGAGGGAGAAAATGATACTTAAGACGGAAGGGAAGGAGGGTCAGAGATTGTATTTGATAGGAGGAGAAAAAATCCTACGCACAAAGCCTTTTCAGACGTTGTTAGATGAAAAAATGGGTTAGGATGTTGAATTCTCTAAACATTTTACCATTTTTTTAAATAACAATTCCTCCTGCCCCACTAAATATCACACACAAAGTCATGTACTAGAAGTCACCTTCTTGAGTCTAAGCTCTTCACAATTTCGATCCTAGTACATGTATATCGTGGAAGCACACACAGCTGACAAAATAATTGTCCATGAAGTAAAAGATAATTCCTGGTACTTACGTTCTCTTCTTGTCTCGCGTTGTTGAAACTGGTAAAAATTTAACAGTGCTTGCTGTAAACCAAAAGAAAAAAAAATGGATGCTAGTCACTCTTAGGAGTCAAAGGGTCAATATGACTTAATTTGCAGGTGTTCCTTGCAATTGACAATAACTTTGCAGTTGATTAGTGTACACCAAAAATCAGTATTACCTTCTTTTTCCTCTTTTTTCTTTCTCGTAGTTCATTGACATCCAGTCTGGGTGCTGCTGGGTTCCTTCCACCTCTCCCAACGGTCACCCAGCCCTCATCATCGGCTTGGTTACGTGATTCAGCCTCTTCTCTTTCGGTCTGAGTAATAAATTAAAAAAAATAAAAAATAAATTAAACAGCAGCATTATACCAACAAGGAAGATGTGACTATCTAATTGCTCACTGGCTGGAAATTGCAAGTACATGTATCCTCCACACAAACCAAATAAAACATCAATTAAACATGGAAAATATAAGACAAAGAAGTTTCACCTTCTCTCTATCTTCATCAAACTTTGCCATAAATTCATCCACTTCAAGCTGTAACTTTTTTGTATCTGGGTATTGTAAGTGATATTCCTCAATCCATTCTGAAATGAATACAAAAAATTAAAAAACTCTCATTTTTAAACATAACCCAATATATTAAACCAATATATTAGAAATCTTTAATATGATTCTCCAAAACAAGTGATTCATATTACAAATTTGCCAAAGCCTGCACTAGTCTCACTGAGACAGAAAGGCTATTCCTACTGATTTTGCAGAATTCTTGTGAGTTAAACTTAAAAAGCCACAATTACTAATAATCAGCAGCACATAATGCATGTGTCAAGCAAGTGAAGACCTACACCAGGTTGTTGCAATAAAAGCTCTTCTAGGTCTGAACTAAGAGACAGATAGCGTTATATGCAAGAACAAGATGACCTCTGTTTACTGGCTGATATTGAGAGCTAAAACTTCTTCCCACATATCCATGCAGTCCCATTCACTGTACTTACTTTTCATTCCAGTTGCTACTGGATTTTTCTTTGTTGAAAGCACTCTTACTGTAGACTTGTCTAGGTTTAATGCTGCACTCAAAGAAGAAGACTTTTTGAAGACAATATAACCAACCTTAAAACCCTATAGAAAGGAAGTAAAACATAAGGAGATCTATTTGCTAAATAAAATAGATAATTATATGACAATTCAATGAAAAATATACTAGACATGTAGAAAACTACAGTATGTTGGTAGGTAAAGCCTGTAATCAAAGTGGCCCATCTAGCCCAAGCTTATCCTTGTTTTCCATCGCATGAAACGGCTAGGAGTATTACTTCTCCCCCCTCCCCCCGGTGAGTTGTCAGTCTATTTTAAGCCCACCCCTTGCAGAATTTCATAAGGTTTACCAAACAATTCAGTCCAGTAGCCATTTATTCTTCTACATTGTAGGTGAAGGGAGGCACTGTGAAAGTTGAGTGTTTTACCCAAGAACATGACACAGCAATCTGACCAGGTTTAGAAACCAGACCTCTTGACCTGGACTCCTATGTGGTAACAATTAGGCTAATGTATCTTCCACAGAACACTAAAGTGAAAGTATGCTGAATTTCTTCCAAGATGACAACTCTAAGATTGCCTGACTGACCCTTGATTCATTACACTTAAGTACAACTCTTAAATCTAAACCAGTCTACAGTGAATGGAAGAACTTGCCAGAACCTATGTATGCTGTCAGCCATTTGTAGCCAAATGATGCCAGAGCAATGCAATCAGAACTCAAACTCACATGGCTTCATAATTGCTTCTTAGTCTTACAACTTCCAAGTGTGGGTTCAAAGTTGCTGTCAGTGTCAATCACTCACTCTGACTCTGGAATGCACATACCGCACCGCTCGTGTATATGTTAACTGCACAGACAAATTTCATATGCTCAGATGCAGGGTAGTCAGATGCACATATACAATTTTTTTGCGTGCAAAGTTGAGAAAAAATGCGCAACTCATGTGTCTTTGTTATTCGGTGCTATAAATCTCCTTTGAATTACATTGTTGTATAAAAAAAAAAAAAAAAAAAAAAAAAAAAAACTATTAGGTTTGAAAAAGCCACAAGTCAACAAGGGAAAATTTATATAATGAAAAAATCCATCATGTTACACTCCTGCATGTTGCATCACTTCATAGTAGCAATACATTTGCTTGAATTGAGTTGTTAATGAATCAGGAGAGAAAGAAAATGTCACTTACACAAGGCATCAAAACATGTGTACTACTAAGTGAGTAACAAAGGGAATACAGAGCTTTAATAAGATTTGAGGGAGGTGGCTACCTCAGTAAGGCACCTGCCGGAGAATATTCTCATTGTTATCCTATTACTTCCATTCAGAATAAACTAGCTTTAAACAGAGTTTTCGGTGTTAAAACTCCATAGATGATGATTAAATTTTCATCTCCTTTATAACAATTGTTCAATTGATCATTTTCTTTATGATCAAAATCTTCCATTTGCAGACATGCAAGCCTGCTCCCTGAGTTTCACACAAAGAGTCCTCTGAAATTTGAGTCAGTACATTCTCCTTTCATGGAGAACAGAATGGAAATATACTATTTAAGATTGTGATTGATGCTTTATTTTATTCATTGCAATCAGTGCTCACTTCAGTGTAAACGCCTCAGAATGTAAACAGTTTTTTTGCATTGCACATGTCTTAAACAAACTTGAACTAAATGTATCCTGCATTTAATTTTTCCCTTGCCTTTTTCAAGCAACTTGATGAACATCAATTGATGATGACAAATAGTAAAACAAGAGGCAAATCTAGTTTTGCATAAAAATTTGCATAAGAGTCAGAGCATGGCTTAGTCATGACAAGTAACCAAACTGTAATGCAACACCATTAAAATAAGCTGGTAGAACTTCTTGGCTTTTGTTTAAAAGGTGAGATGAATGAATCAGTTTTCAAGAAAATTTTTTTTATTCGCACTTGCATGCGATTTTTGGCATGTTTTACATGTGTTTGGGTTAATGTATACATGAGCAGTACTGTAAGCTCTTAAGAAAACAAAGATTGACGAACACCCATGCATGCACCTACCAAACTCTTCCTCCATGGTATCCATGGTATCCATGGAATCCATGGTATCCATGGAATAGAAGATATTTTCACATAACCCCATACTACTTCACTATGCATATTACAGTTCTTGGATAAACAAAATAAAACTGAAGGAGAAAACAAGAGATTTACAGTGTACCTTAAGACTATGGATTTACTTCACAAGAGTAAAGGGTTATATGGAATTCTGTACCCAGAGAGGCCATATCAATAGAAGCCATGAGTGACTGCTATTACGTGAAACAATACCTTGACACTATCTGGTGGGATGACTAAGCTTGCCGCATCCCTCTCCGTTGACCCCGGTTGCTTGACAAGAAATACCTCTTTTATAGCGCCACAACTACTGAACAGTCGCTTTAAGGAGCCCTAAAATTATTTTCAACCAAACAAAAGTAAGCTTTCGAAAATTATCAATAACATTGCAAATGTTTAAAAACCACACAACACAGAAAGAAAACGTGGTAGAAAAGCAACAGATCTCACGGCACCTTTGTGCAATATGGGGGAATATTCACCACAAAAAGTGTCTTATTCGGTGGTTTTGTTGTATCTTCATCTCTTGTTGTGTGATTCTTGAAATACAGGTAGTGATAGGAACAATATTTTTCGCTAAACTTCACGCAAATCGTTTGAAACCCACCAACTTCGGACGCCATTTTGTCGTAGACTAAGTAACCGCGCACACCACCGAGCATGCGTGGTGCTCAATTAAGAGGCCGTCATGGCGGAAACTCTGGAGGATTTGATTGGTACTACATAAACGCTTTTAAATGCATTTGCTTTTGTGTATTTGTAGAATTGAAATCCAAAATTAACTATTTCACAGATAAAGCCACGGATCCTTCTAAAACTAAGGACGGCGTGGACTACTCGACACCAGTATGCGACAGAATAAATGTGGACCTAGATGGGTAAGTTTATGAGTTATAATTCAATTTTAATTTGTGTTGTTACTTGGTTAGAACTTAAAACTTATTTTGATTCACAGTCTGAGCTTAAAATTGTCACTGTTTCTTCGCTAGACCAACAATTGGGATCCGTTACATGGCGACAAAGGTCAAAAGCGCGAGGGAAGACGAGGCTCTTTTAGGACTGGACGTGAGTTTATTGCTTTATTTTTTCTGCTTTATGAACCACCCTGACCAGCTCATGAAAGTAGAAAGTTTGGGTTCAAATAAAACGTTTCATATAAACCAGGTGGTAGATGTTTTTGCCCAAAATTATTCGTATTTCACCGAATTGAAGTATATTGCATTTGTAGTTCCTCTTTCTTCTACTGTGTTTAAAAAACCTTCCTGTGGAAGATTCCTTCACAATCTTACGCTTTCTTCAGGCCATCATATCGTGTGATTTGTATTTAAGAGATTTAGCGCTACAATTCTTCCTGTTGGGTTGATTTTGCAAAATATATCTAGTGCTTTTCCAGGCAAGTATGAACAGCAAAACCGAGTATGTGGAGAGGACTGGTAAGGGGTGATAGGTGGTGTTTAGGTGGAAAGTAAAGGGGAAGTTAAGATAATTACTAAATCTCCTGTGTGTATCAGAACTAATCTTTTTTTTAATATTTATCACCAATCAATCAGTCAATCAATCAAGAAAAGAATATATATATCACATGTATGTAAGGTTGAATTTTTAGCATTTAATTGTAATGCGCAATTGAAAATTCTTATATTGATAATTGCGCAATATAAGTCTATAAATTATTATTATTATTATTGTTAAGTTGATAAGCAACTGAGCAAGTAATTAACCATTTTACTCCTGAAACTAATGAGCATTTAATTTCTTGTTACATTAACACCCCTGAATCACGCATTAAGGTCAACGGAATAAAGGAAATGATCACCAAGTAGGGAAGCTCTTGATTGTTAAACAAATTCTCCTTATCAGCCCCTTAGTTGTGACATTTATATAGAATAGTATGGAGAATATTAATGTTGATGTCAGGTTATAGAGGGTTAATCAATCATCAAAAGTAAGTATCTAAGCCGCTGCACCCCTCCCCTACAGTGTAACTCAACAGCCTAAATTGCTACCAGTCAACTTTTGTTGGGTTAGGGGAGGGGTAAGGTACATAGTTGTTCCGATACTGACATTGATCCAAATAAATAGCGAAATAAACACTTAAGACAATATTATATGACTTTTAATTATCACTCTAAATTCAAAATACTGGTAGGAGAATACGAAATAATGTTTTTTCTTTCTCTTTCTTTTTCATTCAGCTAATTGAAACCTGTGTCAAAAACTGTGGTCAGAGATTCCACAGTGAAGTTGGAAAATATAGATTCTTGAATGAACTCATTAAATTGATATCTTCAAAGGTATCTATGAAATTTAATGCATATATATATTATTAAATGCTTGGTTTCCTTTTTTAATTTGGTTAGTTTTTGATAGTTGTGTCAGGTGCATTTGAAGGTACAGTTGTAAGATGCATTCCCTCAGCAGGTCAGCAAAAAGTGTCTTAAAAATAAGCAATCACAACTTTTGAAAACCAACCAATTACAATATCTAAGGGTATTCAACCAATCAGAGCAGAACATAATGGGTTACATTGTGATGCATAACCAATCAACATTATCCTCTGAAGAAGACTGGAAGCTTCAAAATGAAAATGTGAGAGCTACTCTCAAATTGTTAAGAGGGTTTGCACACCCTGTCTTCTGGTGACTGGAGACCACTGGACTGACCCAGTCTTGCTGTATACAGGTGTCTCAAGAAAGGTTTTTAGAAAAAAGTGTAAAAGTGCAGGCAACAGACTTCCAATAGGTATTATGGGCAGTTTTCAGGGCAGGGGTCCTCAACTTCAGGATTTCAGGGAAATCTGAGAAAACTTCACTGTAAGGACTAGGCGTCACAAGTTTTGATGAATTTATATATCTAATTGTTTGACTTATTAAAATTCGTTCATTACTGGATACCCAGATTACCTTTTGAGATTGTTGCATGCAATTTTGTCCTTTTTTTCAACAACCTTTCTCAGAATGGCTGTTTAAGGTGAGCATGCCACTTAGTAGCTTATTTGTGAAAAGTTCCTTTCATGTGGTTAAATACATGTAATAGTCTGTGTATAATACATTTCATTAGATTGGCTTGGAACCACTTCATAGGGAAATTTTGTGACCTAAATCCACAGCTTGGGTACCCTGGGTCACAGAGAACCCAGTGGCAACATTACCTACAAATACACTATTTTGGGAATCAATTGTTTTTTTTTTTTCATTCATCAGTAATAATGGATAGTTGTTGTTAATAATTATTCTTTTATTCAGTACGATGGTGACTGGACAGCTGAACCAGTGAAGAAACGCATTATTCAGTGTATGTATAGCTGGAGTGTAGGTTTACCAAAGGAGACCAAAATTGCAGAGGCTTACAAGATGCTAAAAACACAAGGTACAGTGACAGAGTACACTTTATTTTAATGAACGTTAACTCTAAGAGGTTATTTCCCCCTTCAGTAGCTGTATTGGGTGGGAAATGACGTCATGGCATGAGAATTCACTTCAGTTAGCCTTTCTTTCATCTTTTTTCTGTTAGTCATGTTATGTGATGGGTCTCGTGTTTTTTCCAGCCAAGCTTGTATATGCTCTAATATAATCTCAACCATGAATTGAAAATCAATGTTATAGTTTAATCTAAAATTATTTTTCAATTAGGAATTGTTACCACAGACCCACAAGATCCTTATGCTCAAACTGCTGCTGAAGTAAGCAAAAAAGCTGATAGAGATGAAAATAAAATGGTCATATGATATTAACATAATTATTGTAACACCTACAATAATGGTAATAGGACTGAGCAGAGTCCAAGTGGAGTCCTACAGGTGATTCTCAAAAGCGAACCACTGTGACTACCTACAGACTTGGACAACATGAAATCTTACCACCAATTAATCAAAACTATGAAAATTTTTGAGAAAAAAAACTAGCCACTGAGTAAATGTTTTCATTAAAAAAAGAATAGTCAACTTAGGAAATGTGGGGCAACAACATGTGCATGTGAAGCATACTGTCCAATTACACAGGCATGATGTGCACTCTATCCTGTTAGTGCTTATATAGGGCTGGTGATAACCAATCCGTTCGAGAATTTTATCATAGTTTAATTTATAGTGATATCATTGTTATTAGGGTTTTTTAATTATGAATAGGTGACAGGGATTCTTTGAAACTTTACACTATACTCAGCAGAAAAAAAAAACTTCCTGCTGTAGAGGAATGTACATATAGAATGAAAATGGTTTTAGCTTGTATCATGCCCTTTTGTCCTTTTGTCCCTTTGTCCTTTTGCTCTGTAATATTTATGAATCAATGTAATTAATATTAATGTAAAAAAATGGTGTGATAGACATTAAAGAAGTAGTAACTTCTAATGAAATTGAATTTAAATGTGGTTTTCTTTGACAGAATCCTCCTGACAAACCAAAAGATACAATATTCCAGGATGAAGAAAAATCAAAGGTTTGACTTTACTACCTGTTGAGTGAAATGTGTGAACATTGAAGTAGAAGATGAATTATGTTATTTGAAGTGTTAGGGGCTACTCCTTTTATCTTATCATTATTTGACCTACATATTTAGTCATATGTCAGCTTTTATTAGTGTTTATCAATTTTGAATTGATCTCTTTCTTTTGCTAGCTGCTGGCTCGTCTTCTGAAGAGTACTCATCCCGAAGATTTACAAGCTGCCAACAGACTGATCAAGACCATGGTTAGACAGGTTGGTGCCTACACGGTGTAAGCTGCACACATGGTGTACATGTAGACATTAACGTGACAGCATATAGCCTAAATTTATTTTCAAGTGTTGATAATTATATTTCTCAATAGTGAACAAATCAAATACGTCAGAAATATTATCAACACAAGAAATTAAATATGGATTTGCAAGTGGACATGTAATTATTTGTTTATTCTGTAGATTTTGATAGCATATTTGAATCAAAGACAGCTTTTGAACACATTTTTAAGAGCACCAAATGAAGGAAAGAAGTTTGGATGTTGGATCAACATGTTTGATGATTTTTTTTTTCCATTCTAGGATGAAATGAAGATGGAGAGGCTGGTGAAAAGAAATACAGAAATGGAAACTTGCTGTAATAATATCAAGCTTCTGACAGAGATGTTGAATCATTATGGTCCTTCTTCTCCAGCCCAGGATAAGGAACTCATGAAGGTACATTGCAGTCTTTTTTTTCTTTTTTCAATTTATGTACCTCATTTGGTAGTGACAAATGTTTTCAAAAGATGCACAATGTGACTTGAAAATTGTGGTAAAACAAGAACCTAAGAATAACTGTATTTAATAAAGGAAAAAAAATAACAGTGGGAAAAAACAGGAAGCCCACTCAGTAGAGGTGGTTTTAAGTGGGGGCCTGGAATTGAAAGAGTAAAAATGTAATAGAAAACTAAAGATACTCTCTAACTGAAAAACTAACCTCCCAAATTTTTTGTTTGACAGTTGTGAGAGATTTACTGATAGATTTTTGTGCAAAATGTTTATAGGAACTGTATGACTCCTGTGATAAAATGAGACCACAATTGTTTAGACTGGCCAGTTCAGCCACAGAAGATGGCGATGAAGGATTAGGTGAGTTAGATTTTAATTAAAGCATGTACCATTTTTAGTGGTAAGTAGTTCAAGGAAACAAAGGGCTAAATTTTGATACAGAAGGACTTACATGTATGCCACCCATTACTAAAAGTGCAAGCCGCTGCTGATGAAGGAACAGATAATTTCTCATTTGCTGGTGAAGCTGCTGGATATTAACTTAAACTGGTTTTAATTCCTTTGAAGATTGGAGTTGTTAAGAGTTGACTAATCAGGGTGTTTCAGAGATAGAAGAATTCTCCAGCTATGATGCAGAACTCACTACTTAAGTTCAGTGACTTGAGTTATTTTTTGTTCACACGTGGAGATTATCCTCTTGCTTCTCTAGTATTTTCTTCAGCAACTAAATTTTTTCATGCAAACCTGACTAATATGCATTAACAATGTGCAAACTATTGCAGCTGAAATCCTCAGAGTGAATGATGACTTATCAAGAGTATTAGAGTATTATAAAAGGATATTTGGATTAGCTCCAGCAGCACCCACTACACCAAGTAGTCCTGGGCCACTTTCTACAACCCAGACGGCAAATTCTGAAGTCAGTTCTCCTACTGGTGCTTCCACTCTTATTGATCTGGGCTCTGGAGGCCAACAGGGAACATCAATGGAAACTCCAGCATCCAGTGTTTTGGAAAATGAACTTAAAGCCTTAGGTCAGTCCTATTTGGTTGATTTTGATATCTATTAATTCATTAACCCTCTACACCTTAACATCTGTATTATGAAAGTTCTCTGTACTGTTCTCTATACATTACCTATGGTACTTAGAAAGAGAATTTTTTTTTAACAATCAAGAGCTTGTTGAGTTTGTGATCATTTCCTATATTCACCTCAACATCAGTATTATGAAAGTTCTCTGTACTGTTCTCTATACATTCCCTATGGTACTTAGAAGGAGAATTTTTTTTTAACAATCAAGAGCTTGTTGAGTTTGTGATCATTTCCTATATTCACCTCAACATCAGTATTATGAAAGTTCTCTGTACTGTTCTCTATACATTCCCTATGGTACTTAGAAGGATAATTTTTTTTTTAAACAATCAAGAGCTTGTTGAGTTTGTGATCATTTCCTATATTCACCTCAACATCAGTATTATGAAAGTTCTCTGTACTGTTCTCTATACATTCCCTATGGTACTTAGAGGGAGAATTTTGTTTAACAATCAAGAGCTTGTTGAGTTTGTGATCATTTCCTATATTCTCATGAACATAATGTTTAATTTAAGGGTGGTACTTTGGGAGAAATTTGATTATTATCACTCTCAAGGGTTAAAGGTTTCATAACTCATTCATGTAAGAAAATGTTTTGGTGTTACATGTTCAATGTATGTTAGTGTGGTACTGAATAGTGAGCATTGCTTACAAATTTAGTTCTTAGGTAGGTAGTTGTTATTCATAGTTTTGCAAGTAGTTTTGATCACTGACTCCCATGAAAATTATAACCATTATTTATTTGTCCATTTATTTGTTTACTTTTGTCATGTAGGTCTTCATGATCTAGATGGGCCTCCAGTAAATAGCAATTCTCAGATACCACTTCAGGTACTGATTTTTTCCTTACAATAAACATATTTATTCACAAGACAGTAAATAGTGCACATCTAATTTTAACCTGCAGTGTACATGCACAAACTTCAAACCCCTATTATTCTTCCCAATGTTTTTGATTAATTTTCTTTCATTACATTTTTCAGCAGCAAAGAATTTTTGTATTGTTGTATTATAAGAATTTTATGGGAGACAGTAAGGAGAATTACCATTGAGATCTGGGAATGAAAGGGTTAATTACATGTACAGTTTATGAGCTTGATATTTCTGTCACGCAATGAAATCAAGAGCGAGCAAATAATCTGATTGTTTTGGCATTGATCTATAAGCTATTCAAAACTTAACTACTGACTGTAATTACAGAATAGTGTGTTCTTGTAAGAGAGTTCTAAATATTGCACATTTTAACCGTTTAACTCCCATGAGTGACCAAGATAGAATTTCTCCTTACAATATCAATACAATATCAACCAGATAAGTGATGAGAATAAAGAATAGTATCAATTTGGGGATAATTAGTTGATCCAATACTAAATTCTCTGAACTAACATTATAAGGCAGTGAGGAGAATTACAAATTTGATGTAGGAGTTAAGGGGTTAACAGAGGTGGGGTCTACAAACATGTTATGGAAATTCACAAAATGGGCAGAAATTTTTATTCTTTGATGTGGTTTCTCAGCAAGCCCCTCAGCAGCCTGGTGTTGCAGGACCGTGGGGTGCACCAGCCCAGAACTATGGTATTCTGCCACCACCTTCCACTACAGTAGGTGTGGTCAGACCCATGGGTCAGCCTCAGGTGGCTGGCATGATGCCCCCCATTTATATGGGTGCAGGGCAGATGAACCGAATGCCATTCCAAGCCATGTCTCCTGGCACAATGTCCATGGGGCCAAGGCCAGGACCACTGAGTATGGGTGTCAGTAGCTTTACCATGCCAACTGCTGGTTCATTACCTCGTGGGAATCTCCCTGCAGCAGGAGGTAGGAAGGCAGAAGAGCAGGCAAGGGCGCCAAGTGCGTTGGACTTACTTGGTCAAGAGTTACTACAGACCCAGAAGCAGCAGCAGAAGCAGAAACAAACCGTCGCTCCTCTGCAAGAGAAACCTGCACCTGAGCAGCAGCAGGCAGCAGCCCCTACAGCTGACAGTCTTTTGTCGTTAGGAATAGAGCCAAGCCCTTCAACCCTCCCTGTCAGTGTTAGTTCATCGTCATCTGCCGCTTTTCCTTCAGTACCTTCTCCACCAAAGCCAACCCCTCCGCCCTCTCTAGACAATGTCTTTGTTCCTTTAGATACCATTACACCAGGTAAGCAACACCAGTGAGGCAAGATCTTAGGATACTTGGCGTTTGTTTCTAATCCGAGAGCACGTGAATTGTTTTAACCCTCTATCAATATCCATCATCAGTAAGCATATTCTCCAGAATTCATTTTACAATCGAAGCTTCTTATGTTGACGATCGTTTCCGTTTTTCTGGTGATGTTAATGAATGATTCAGCAGTATTACTGGAAGAAGAACTTGCATGCTGGTCACTCTCAGAGTTCAGTGCAAGTTGCTTATTTGTTTTTTGTTTTCTATCTTTTTGCTCTAATTTTAACCTGATAAGTCTACGTGGCGTAAGGAATTGTAATTTTCATCGGTTCATTTATTTGGCCACTAAAAGCATTTACTAATAACATTCACGTATTTCTTTTTTTTTTTTGTTTTCGTATTTTCTTAATCTAGGAAGCCATCCACCACTAACAGTTCTCGATAAAAACAGCATCAAATTAATTTTTCACTTTGCTAAGGTACGTAGAGAATATTCATGCTATATCGATTTTTAATTTCAAGACGAAGAAAGCTGTTGCTTTCAGTTTTGTGTTTGGAGGCAAAGACTTGTGACTTAGTTAAGCAAAAGTTTGAGCTCATCTGAATTAAACTAAAGTGATGGCAGTGGCGAAATCTCTCCACTCATTAGATTTGAACATCAGCGGTTCTTAGGCCAACTGTTTTTGTCCTTTAATTCACAGACGAGCGCAGAGTTGACCAGGAAAGACTTACTGGTTGTTGTGATTTCCACTATGAGCTCACTATCATCTGCAGTTAAAAATTTCGTTTTCCAGGCAGCAGTACCAAAGGTAAATCCCTTCTAAGTGTTCTGTCTTTTTTGTCATTTTGGCATACGATGTTTTTTGGTGTAACCATCCTTTTCTCGCTAAACGCTCGGGTTCGAGAGCTGGTGAGATACTTCATGTTATTTCCTAGGGTCTCGCTCACGCGCGTTAGTGAAGCTGCTTCTCAGTAACACAGCGATTAGACGTAGGGCGTACGCGAGGGGAGCAATTTTGGCCGCCCACGCGCCATTTTCCCGCGCAAATTTCAAAGGAAAACACAAGAAACAACCGCTGTCTGGCATAAAAAAACGCGAAATAAATTTGGAACGTTCATAGAAATCTGTAAACAAAAGTAGGGGAGAGGAAAATTCGAGACTCTGCAAAAACAAAGCTCAATAAAGTATGGGTATCCTATTGAATTACTCTTCTTTACCAAAGGGTTATACGTTTTTTACACAATAACTTAGTGGCTTGTGTGGTGTTTGTAACTCGCATGAGACAACTTAGTTCTGACACCCTAAAAGCATAACACTAAGTCATTACAACGTTTGCACATGCGCAGGCCTTTTTTTAATTCCTTTTTTTTTTAATCCGCAAGTAAGTATTCAAAATAACTCTTTTTCTCGCTTCTACGTTTCGGCAGCTTGAACAGTTGAAGCATTCAGCAGTTGCACAAAAATGTTGTGTTTTTCAGACAATGAAGGTGAAGCTTCAACCTCCATCTGGCAGCGAGTTGCCAGCATATAATCCTATCCTTCCTCCGTCAGCCATTACACAAGTTATGTTGATTGCCAATCCAGCAAAGGTACGTCAACTTAGGTTTTAGACACTGCATAGATTCAAGCTTTTATTTCAATTTTTTTTTAATTGCACATGTTTTCGCTTCACTATTTGTTTAGGCCGTGAGAATTTGTTAATTCTCTGTGGCCGATGCGCAAGACAATATGCTTTTGATATGACGGATGAGCCCTTACACCTTAACATCAGTATACATATTCTCCTTACCCCTCCTTATACGTTTCTTGAGATGCTGACAAGGAGAATTTGTTTATCAATCAACAGCTTCTTAGAGGTCAAACGTTTAACCATGTGGCCGATGCAAAAAGCAGAATATGATGGAAAAATGTTTTGAAAAGTTGATTATTTCAGCTTCGGGGAAAATATCTTTTTTCATTTGTGGTAATAAGTTTATATTAACTGAGCGTAAGGGCCATTCTGGGTAATATTGGCCGAGGTCGTTTAAGAACGACTGAGGACCAGTATTCCCCAGTCAGCTCAAGCAAGCGGGGTCAGTAAGTAGTTTATTATTAGGCACTTACTCCTGGCTTGTTTAGTGTGGAACTTGCGGGCTTTAGCAAACAGAATGACACGGTTTATGATCATTTTTAGTGGAAACGGTCCATCTAGCAAAATATGGACCAATTAAGAGCCAATCAGAAGGCTCGGATTTCCCTCAGGACTACCTTGCCACACAATGAATAAACATATTTCATTATTATTTATGCTTTTATTGACAGGAAAAGATCAGATTAAAGTACAAAGTAAGTTATCAAGTTGATGGCACTCCCATGACGGAAACTGGCGAGGTGGACAGCTTCCCTATTGATGTTCAAGGATAAATCGAATGATGATTTCAAGCCTCTGCTTGCGATGAGTATTGATAATAGGACGGGATGGCGTCCAGTTCTGTCTGTAATTATTAGAGTAACTTGCGGGAGTCCGATTTGTCCAAAACGAGTATGATTATAGACAGAATTGGACTAAAAGTAGTCCTATTACCAATGAATCAAAACTATGACAAAATCTGAGAAACATACCAGCTATCGGTGACACGTTTTATTCAGAAAAAAAGCAGTTAGCTCTGCGAAATGAACGGCAACAGCGCTCGCGTGCATGAAGGGTACTGTCCAATTAAACAGGCATGACGCGTACACTGTTCAAGCACACCGTGCGCTGCCCAATTTGTGTTCAAATCGGGCGGATGGCAGCCAATCACGTTCGAGAATTTTGTTGCAGTTTTGATCTAGACAGTAGTTAAATTCAATGAGGAAGACTTGTTCGTGACTGTTAAAAATTTAAACCCAAGCTTCTAAAGTAAAATTATATCACAAACGGTATGTAACACTCTCTTAGACGTTTTCAAAATTAAAATTAGTCAGAAAAAGTTCCACTAGGCTCAAGGGGAAGGGGGGGATGGTGGAGGGGGGGGGGGGGGTTGGGGAGGTCGTGGTCGTTGACCTCGAAAAAAAGGAAAGGAAAAGAAGGATCGTCATTTATAATCCATGTCAATCTCCTCCGTTCTTAGCCACCCTCTTTTTTCAGTTTCTTATGACTTCTTTGATAGTTGTTTACCTTTACAAAAGATCTCTTTCGGAAGAGTGAATTAGTCTTTGTTATACTTTATATCAAAATCGAAGGTAGTTTTACTACAACTTCAATCATACCACAGATGAGGGAGAATCCTTGAGTACGGACGGTCGTAGAGTATTTATTTCTTCTGAAAAGTCAATCAATGCATGCAAACGATTTCCATACCAAGTTGGCCTGAATTCTGTGGGTGGAATGCAACCGAGTGTTGTTTGTTAGTTCCTATAAAGGCTTTTGGGAAGCTAGAGAATTAACTTAAAATACTGGAAAACAACTGAGTTGATACTAGTGACTGTTGCCGGCTATCTTTTAAATAATAGAACACAGCTTTAAATGATTGTTATAAGAAGCCATCTTAAAACTGAACTTAGAGTTACAAAAAAAATGGTAATTATTCATATTAAAGTATTTGATTTTAACAAACTTTAAATGAAGACTACAATTCCCTTGAAGACTGATAGCGCACGTGCAAGCCTCGACGTCAGATATTCGTCATTGTAAGTCTCGTTTAATGCCCAATTCTTATCAAACTTAGCTCTTCGTGATTTTTTGTTTGCTTATTTTCGATCAACCCTTCACACCCTAAGATCAATATGCATATTCTCCATACTGTTTTCTATACATTTCCTAAGGTGCTGACGTGGAGATTTTGCTTAACAATCTAGAGCTCCTGTGCTTGTTGATCATTTCCGTTATTCTCATGACCTTAATGTTTGATTTAGGGTTGATACTGTAAGGAGAAATTAGATGCTAGTCACTCTCAGAGGCTAAAGGGTTAACAACCTTTGCTAACTAAGCATTCAGTTTCAAAGAAGATTTGCAGGACACAAGGACACTTTCATTTAAAGCGTTGACCAAAAAGGACTTTCTCCTCTCAATATCTCACTACGTTAATGAGTAGATATTGAAAAGAAAAACGAAAGATATTAATCTAGGGGGCGTGTATTTGATTTAGTACCGAATTCTTAGAGCCAAATGTATGAGAAACGTGTACCGGACAACATTTACCCTTTTACACCTAAACATCAGTATGCATATTCTCCCTACTGTTCTCTATACATTTCCTAATGAGCTGGCTAGGAGAATTTGTTTAACAATTTAGAGGTTCTTCAGTTGATTAACCTTTCCCATATTCTCATGACCTTAATGTTTGATTCCTTGCTGATATTGAATGGAGAAATTAGATGATTTGGGATGAAAGGGTTAAGGATTGCGAGGAAACATGGCAAGATCAAATACTACAAATTATGGCGAAGTAATCGTGAGTCACGTTTGGGATATTTGTTGTTGAGTTGATATTTTTCCTCAATCCCACGTTATTTCCGATGAAACCCACAATTCTGCACTTTGCTGTCGAAGATAAAGACATGACTGACTCGCCCGTACTTGTTCCTCTATGAATGACGCCGATTTCCGGGCTCGATTGACAGAGAAGAGGCTTAGTTCAAAACTCTTCTCTTACTGTGACAAATTTTCGATTATTTCACTTGCTAAGGTAAACAAATCGTACTGATTTAGACATGACACGAGTAAATTTCTAACCCAACAACAAGACAGTTACACTGTGTGGCGGTTAGTCAGGAGGTGACTAAAAGAGAAGTGCAGATAAATATCTTGTGTATACTTCCCAACGAAAGACAGATAATCCCTTGCAACTTTCCTTTCTCTCCAGTGCTTTCTTCTCTAATATTTTAATCCCTGCATGTTCTTTGACCGATTAGAAGGTCTTTGTTAAGTCCACGTAAGGTAAACAACCCTCAGACAAAACGGGAAAAACCCCTTACACCAACCCCTAACATCAACATTTTTATCCAAAAATATATTTTGCTGAACAATGAGCGTTGTTGCTAATTATTGAATTTCAGCACGAACAAAGTTAGATCCTTGCACAGTGCCACTGTGAGGCTGTCAGTCAGGAGGTGTCTGAAAGATAAGTGCGGATAAAATATCATATGGACTTCCTTCTCTAACGAAAAATAATCCCTATAATCCCTTGCCCTCCAGTGCACACCTCCGCAACTTTTTCAGCATGTAAGTTCTTTGTAAGTCTTGGTCAAGTCCAAGTAAGGTAAAAACCTTAGAGAACTGGGAAAAGCCCCTCACGCCTTGTCAACATAATACCTAAGAATATCTTAAACTGAAGACAAGTATTGTTGCGAAAGATTGTAAGGGAAAGCACCTTGCTTGACACGGTTTACCTTTTTGAGCTGTCCTCTCTCAACTGTCACAAAAGCAGAGCCGTAAGAATAATCTTTACAATAAAAAAAAATCATTATCAACACTTGCATCTGTAGGTTGTACGTTTCATATTTTTTTACTTTTTGAGAAAAATATCATCTTGAAGTCTGATGACCCTAACTTTCCTGATCAGGAAGCAGAAATAAATATGACATCATGATACTCAGTGTTCACCGGCTGTCTTGTGAATTTTGATTTTCGGTTTCCCTTGAATCGATATAAATAGATATATGCCTGTGTAAAACATTGTGTACTGTTCGAGTGTGTTCTCTGAACATTTTGAATGACATGATTCTCGACAGAAATGCGGAATACGTCATGAATGTTGTCAATAAGATTAAACTGATTGCTCGACAGAGGCTATGCTTCAGATCGAATCAGTAAGATTTGGATAAAACGGAAGTTATAAAAAAAATATACTCAAAAAAAAAAAAAAGAAAAGCAGCGTTTCAGCTCCACGAGGAAAATTTTTAAGCCGTCCAAGATTTACGTCACACTCATCCTTCCGTGAAGTATTGGAGTCATTGTTTACCAAGGAGACGTCAGCTATATATCAGGACTTAATATATTCGTTTGTTGAAGCGTAGAAGATCAGTAAGAGCGTTTAAAGCTGAGCGCTAGTTAGAAGAAACGGCAATGTTGTGTACATCGGAGGCACAGAAAGATTGGCAAACTTCCAGACCAACTATCAAAGAGAGATGTGCGTTTGTCTTCAACAACGAGTTCTTGAGCGATGTGAATTTTAAAGCGAGATCGTCGATTTGCGGCGAGTGTAAGGTGATACCAGCTCACAAGTTCGTTCTTTCCATCAGCAGCCCTGTGTTTCAAGCCATGTTTCGCGGGAACATGGCTGAGTCTGTTTCAAACCTGATAGAACTACCGGACTGTGATTATGAGAGCTTGTTGGAGTTCTTTCGTTATCTCTATAGCGATGAGGCGTATCTTAGTGGAACTAACGTCCTTCAAGTGTTATATCTAGCAAACAAGTACATAGTGCCCTCTCTCGTCGATAAATGCACCGAATATTTGCAGAAAAGTCTGAACGCAAACAATGTGTTGCGTATTCTTCCACACGCTCAGGCGTTCGACAAAAATGAACTTTTAGAGCGATGCTGGGAATTGATTGATAAGAATGCGGACAGTGTCGTGAAATCAGAGGAATTTTTTAATCTTGAGAGGTGTCGAGTGGAGACTATTGTCAACAGAGAATCGTTAAACATAACAGAATTCGAATTATTCAAAGCTGTTGACCGCTGGGTGTCTAAAGAAAGCGAAAGACAAGGCTTTCTTGAAAGCCTCAGTAATTGTGAATCAAAGCGACGGATACTCGGGGACGGAATAGTGCAGGGGATACGGTTCCCACTGATGTCACAAAAAGAATTCATGTCGGCCGTACCCGACAGTAACATTCTAACGACAAGCGAAGTCATAAACCTGATGAAATACTTCAGTGGTTTACCGACACCGCTTCTGCCGTTTATACAAACTCCAAGGAAAGGAACAATGAAGGACACGCCACAAATGCGCCGTCGATTGGGAACTTATGTTCCTCCGGCAGCTTGGTGGGGACATTCATTTCAGAATCGCCAATTAGCGTGTGGTTCGCCTCTTAGTTAAAGGAAATGTGTAGCAATATTTGTAATCATTTTTAGTGTCGTTAAGAATCGGCTTTAATAACGGGCGCTGCTACGCTTTCGAGGAAAAAAGGACGCGCAGAAAATGGCCTGTAAGCGGGCGCACAGTGGAAGCGGTTGTCACGGGAACGGCTGTCATTTTTCGCACGCTCGTTTAGTCCCCGTCCCTACAGACGGGGAGCCAGAGCAGGTTATAAGATTTGACTACGAATGTCAAACTCTATGATAATCATCAGATGAAGACGACAAAAACGAAGAGGAAAAAGGGAAGTGGCTTAAAAGCAAGAATACTGATAACGAAGGCGAGGGTGGGAAGACATTTCCTATTTTATTTTAAAAATCATGCCGTCTATTATAAAGTGAGAAAAATAAACGCAAACTGAAGTATTCATTAAGTGTACATCACCTGTCACTGTGTTTAAATCCCTACGAAATCTAACAAACAACGAGTATGATCGTGTTAAAGATTAAGAAAGTCAACACCTGTGAAGTCTTTGATAACTGAACTTAACTGAGAGTTTTGGAGATTTGGCCTGGGTGTATACATTCCGGTTTTCGTTTGACATACAAGGTACCGGGTCATTGAGATATTTATAAAATATTTCAATGACAGTATAACTTTAGGCCGTCATTTAGCACTTTAGCTACTTAAATATAATGCAGTGATATTTAACTGAGGAGTCTAGTGTCACTGTGTGAACCTTGTCAATTTCTTTTTTTTATTATTATTATTTTGTATGCATATGATTAAGACCGTGACTACATCACGTGTCCTTCAAATTTAACCCCAGGCCTATCTCTGACAGGCGAAGCAGTACCCAAACCTTGTTTGTATTAATATTTGATTAACAAGGAATCTTCGGAAAAAACCCCTACTAACATCAGCAGCTTAGGAAAGATTGCAACTATGCCTTCTCTTGAAGATCTTTGGCACTCACACAGGCAAACAAAGAAGGAAAAAATTGCATTTCTCTTCAACAATAAGGAAATGAGCGATGTGAGTTTTGTTGTTCAAGCCTCCACCGAAGAAAGTGAAACTAGAAAGGTCATCCCAGCTCACAAATTTGTGCTCGCAATCAGTAGTCGTGTGTTCCATTCTATGTTTTATGGTCCACTGCCGGAGACTAAAGACTCTATCGAACTGAGTGACTGCGAGTACGAGAGTTTGTTAGAATTATTTCGCTACATCTACTGCGACCAAGCGAACTTGAGCGGAAGTAACGTACTTCAATTATGGTATTTGGCGAAGAAGTACATGACACCTGAACTCGCCTTGAGCTGCAAACAATTTGTGCAACATGCATTCCAAGTGAAGGTATCAAACGTTTTTTGCACTTTGTCGTGTGCTCGTATGTTTGAAGATACAGATTTGGAAAATCGATGTTGGAAAGTGATTGAGAAGCAGACAGAAAGAGCTGTGACATCAGACGAATTTGCTACAGTTGAGAGATCTGTTGTTGAATCTATTGTGAAGAAAGAAGTGTTGAATATTAAAGAAGTAGAACTGTTCAAAGCTGTTGATCGCTGGGGCGTAAAAGAATGTGAGAGGCGAGGAATAACGCTTGGTGGAAAGGAAAGGAGAATTATTTTAGGGGAAGAAATTGTGAAAGCGATTCGATTTCCTCTGATGTCGTACGAAGAGTTTAGATCTGTGACGATATCCAGAGAAACGGAAAACATTCTGAAACACGAGGAAATATCTCACATGTTGAGTTTTTATCTGGATGAACTGAAGACCCCGTTACAGTTTTCACCGGCTCAAAGAGTCGATTTTCATCTATGCCTTAGATTTGATAATTTCCATCCTCCGCGTGGAGATGAAAAGTGGAACTATGGAGATAAGATGGGAGAGCTTGCTTTCTCTGTCGATAAGACCATCTACCTGCTAGGCATTCAACTTTTCGGCAGCTTCGAGCGATACAATGTCACAGTTGAAGTGAAGAGACATCATGGCGATTGGATAACATTTACAAAACATTCAGGCACGCATTTATCCAGAAAGGTTGCTCTTACAAATGGTTATTATTACGGATTTGACGTGTTTTTCGATGATCCAATATTATTGGAGACGAATAGACCATATAAAATTGTGTGGCGCATCCGAGGTCCATCCTCATGGTACGGTGGAGGATACAAAGAGTTCATCGAATGTCACGGTGTGGTTTTTACCTTCATTAGACATGTGCCTTCTTTGAGAGGCACCGTGCATTATTTGAACGACTTAGCGTGTCCTGCTCTGTTATTCCGGGAAAACATCTCCGCTTGATCAGGGCCTGTACTTCCTACGCGTGCGTGATTACGAGCCGATTTAAGACTGTATCAAATTTTGCGATAAGTAATCGTATATTCGGTCTGTAGCTCTTGTACATTTTATATTAAATCCGAATGGTTACCGAAGAAGAATCTCTTTTGCAAAATCGCAAACTCTGAGATCTAGGAGTAGTAGATTTTCTGTAACGGAAAGGAAAGAAAAAATTCTCAGAATTAAGTGACGGTTTGACTCTTGATCTCATCATTATCGTCTGTTACTGGAATTTGTATTTGATTAATGAGTCATAAAGACGCTAACTTCGGGAAAAGAAGTTCAAGTTGACAGCTTGTTCGTTTTCCTTTTCATCTAGATCTAACATGAGACAATGATTTTAATAACCAAGAAACCGCTAGCGTATCTAGTATTGCATATCAATAAACTTAATGCCACAGAATTCTCACAAAGGGATCGATCTTTGTAACTCGCCGGGGAAGGGGGTGGGGGTCGGAGGATTTTGATCGTGTCTGAATCAAACTACTCCAATCCCCCATAAGATTCTGTATCCCCCGCATGGTTTTAATGTGCAAATACCAACAGAATTTGAAGTATAAAAGTTTGACGTTGAGCAGAACAGTGAAGGGGAGAGGGGGAAGGGAGGGGGATGGCCTTATAGATAAAGAAACGCTCAATTCTCTTACCCCCATGTATAATACGCCCCCCTCCGCACCTTTACTACCTTTATACTGACCAAATTTTTCATAAACAAAAGTTTTCAGAGCAGAAAAAACGTTCCTACAACTGACGTTTTGCAGTGGAAAGTTTCGTTACTTCTAATACGGTACGATCGTAATGTTTATCTCGTCAGCTGTTTCTTAAATACTCTACTTAATTTATTTATGGATCGAAATTTATTGACGACTGATCCCTTATCCGTTCCTCCCTGTAAACTTTGCGAGTAGAAGCGATTCGGCAGTTGAAATTGCATGATGAGAATGGAAGACAAATCTCTTCAAACCTTGATCCCTGGGTTGATCTTCTTCCTGTACTCTGGAGACGAGCGACCCCGGAACCGAGGTTAAAATCATTCTGGTCTAAAACTAGGACAATTGTGACCACAACTTTTAAAATTCATAAAAAATTCAATATTTAGCCTAAATGGCTCACATTTTCACCAAAGAGGCACCTGATTATGCCTTCTTCAATATTGATCTTAAATTGCTGACCATGCATTTCTGAAGTTAATTATTAACCCTATAAAATAAAATATTATTGTTAGACTTGATACACTGCCCCCTTTTGTTTCTAATGAAAATGCAATAAATAAACTTATGTTTGGCACATCAACTCTATATAAAAGGGACTACAACTTAATGGGGCAAAATTTGGTTACGGCGGATATTGTTGTCATGGCAACCAAATGACCATTTAATTTATGTTTTTGCCTGTAAATATGCTTCTATTTTATGTGGTCTAATTTTGTCCCATTAAGTTGTAGTAGTCTATATGTTAAACACTTGAGCCAAGTTTGACTAACATACCTTAAATCTAAGAGACAAAAAAATAGGGGGCAGTACTGGCAGTAGGAAAAATGGCCATTTTTCAGAAAATAGCCTTAAACATTTGTAAAAGAGATAAAAAAAACAATGAAAATGACTTCCATTCTCTCAACTACTGATTTGCTTTGATATTTCACCATAATACTATATCAAACAGCAGTAAATGTTACCAGGGAATGGTTTTTATGTCTGTTCATTTTTTTTTCCTCTTTCTTGATGGTCCACTGTTCAGTCCAAGATCATTGAAGCCTCCCGCCTCATATGTCACACCTTCCCGGTTGGACCTCAGCTCTTCATCCCTTTGTTTTGCCTGCCTCCTCATGATTCTGTAGTTCTTGTACTGTTTGTCCACTCTTGCCTCAGCCTGTTTTACTCTTTTAGAATCTCTCCTCTTAAATTCTTTCCTTGTATGTACCCCCACATTCAGTCCAGCCTTCAACATGACCTGGTTCTTCACGGAGGCACCACTGCTGAAGTGTAAACTAGCAGAACATGTTGCCATCAGAACTCTTTTTCTTCCATGCCATTTACTCTTGGGGCACTTATTCCACACCAAAGCATTTATAGATTCATTTGAATTCTGTGTGTAGCCAGGCAAACATCTTGCAAGGAGGGCAGGGTCACTCAGTCTGTCATAGATTGGTTCAAGACATTTTTTAAAAACTGGATCAAGATGATGAGGTTTGTCTGGACATGGTAAACCTTTCTTATACTTGCACCAAGAGTTTGATGGGCAGTACTGATGTCTTTCCTTTAATGGCAGCTTTAAACAGTGATAAAGGCCAGCCTTTATTTCTGTTCTCATGTTTGCCACAGCTCTGTCTCGTTCTTCAGTTGTTGAGATGCCCCTATTGACATTGTTGCGGACAGCTTTTCCATAATATTTCTTAAGTTTTTCTATTTCAGTTTTGGTCAGCCTTCCATTCCTACCTTTAACAGGTTTGCCATCCTCCAGTTTTGTGGTGGACTTCTGGAAATCATAAAGGGCCTTTCCAAGACGTTTCTGCACATGGCCTATGCAATCAAGTTTAATAACTCGATTGCAATCAGCAGTTCCTTGAAGATGTCCCTCTTCCCATTCTTTGTAATCACTTGAAGCTGTCCATGAAATGTACTCCTTAGATGTTGGTTCCATTTTCTCGAAGCAATTGCAAGTGTCACATGCTCCATATATGTTCCATATTGATGAATAAGACTTTGAGTCTCCATCAGATATCATCCACTTGTACATTAAGCCAAATTGTTCACTCCTACCCCATAATCGCTTAGCGCATTCCATTTCCATACTTGGACTGGAACCACCATAGCTGCCTTGACAGTCATGAGTTTGCAACCAATCCTCAAATGCCTCTTGTGTACAATTGGCTTTTTTCTGGTTACACTGACTGCAGACTTTAGAAATGACCTCAAAGTCAAGAACTTTTCCAGATGCTGCTGATATTACGAAGCTTACACAGTGATTGGCAGAATAGCCTCGCCTGGACCAGGTGCCATCAAAACTCACTGGTACTTCAGCTATTGCATTCTCATTGTTATCTTCCTCACCCATCTCTAGAAATGCAAGTTTTCTAGCTTCAGCTCTGTTCTTGGCCAGTTCTTCTCGGACGACATCAGTGTGGGCTTCTAAGAGAGCATCCTCATGTCTATACCATGTATCAATTGAAATACTGAAAGGCATATCTAACACTTCGCAGAGTTTGGCTATTCCTTCCCTTCCTAAACCCATTTCAAAGGCACCATAAACAACTCTCCGATTTAAATCTTTTCCTTGGATAGTATTCGGTAATGTGGCATCAGATTTGTGGTATCCAGTAGCAAGTAGTTCTGACATTCCACATTCATCACACCTGGCATAGATGGAACTGCTCAAGCCAAATCTACTTGTACAGTCTTCTTCTAACTCAACATGGCCTAAAAGAGCCAAAACAAAATAAACAGTTAAGAAACTTCATAACATAGCTATTAAGTTAAGCAGATTGTAGCTAGAAAGATAGATACGTTACATACAGATTACACGTGTATGTGATAAAGCTCTAGACTCACCTGAAGAGCATGTAGAGTGTGAATGAATCCTGTTACAAAATTTCCTTAAACTATCCATGCTAACAAGGCGATAACCATTTGCTGACTCGAAAGCGTTATAGGAATTCTCATCTGAGAGGCTTTCGGTCTCAGAGACTTGAATCTTTCTGGAAGATGCAGGCACAGCTGGTGGTGGAATTAGCTCGCTGACCACATCGTCTTCATCGACGAAAGTAACTCCTACTTTTGGCCGTTTCTCTTTATTCTGGCGCTTTAATTCATGGACTGAAGTGCCTCTGAAACCACTTTTTCGCTTTTTCGAAACATTTTTCCTTAAAACAGCTTGTTTGCGTCCTTCTTTTAGCATTGTAATTCGAAATTATTATGGAGCAATGCGAAAGTATTATGGAGCAACGCGGAGTTTTGGCCAAGAACCGAATTGGCTTAGTAACCTAGCTTAGAACCGAAAAGATTGTACCTGTGGAACGGACTCTGGTCACACCAGACCGTAGGAACGTGTTTTAACAAGTTATAACGCATCGATCGCAAAAATAACGCAAAATTTGAAGCCGTTGCCATGGAAACCGAAAAACAACAAAAAAACAAGGCTAAGAAAACCTCATTTTTTACTGACTCGCAAACTGGAAGTGGAAAAACTGACATCAAAACTTTAAACTAGACAGATTTGCCCAACTAAAGAGGCCATCAAAACATTTTCGAAAAAAATAACGATTTTAAATTTTTTTTGACCAGAACGCCCCCTTAAGATGCTCAGTCACTGAGAAATGTTTTTAGGGTTCTGTTCTGGCGAAATATTCTCATTGATCACGACCAGGAGTCTTCAAAGGTTTTCAGTTGCGTGACAGTGTGACTGATCCTTTCTAGCATATAGGTTTCCTTGCTTTCGCGTAAGTTTTATACGGTTGATATAGCAACGAATTTTTTGTCACTATAGTGGGAATTGAGGCGAAAAGAAACCAGCTAAAATCGGCCAGTCTTCGAGATTGCAAAATTCGCTTTAATAGGATAGAAAAGAGCGAAACCGATCGAGATAAGGAAAATCACCAATGTACAAAAAGAACGACTCCTCGAAACCAAAGAGCTTTTATACTCGCTTTAGAGACCTTGATTTCCTCTCAGTTTACTCTAACATGTTAGTGTTACAAAACGTAAAATCAAGATGCAAAACAGATAATTCCGTTTTTTGGTCACAGACCTTTGTCACGCTTTCGCCATGTTGGATTAAAACCCGGCGAGCTTGCTAAGCCAGCCATGCATTATTTCTAAGATGGTGCAACACCATTTCCATTTGCTATGGTCAGTAAAATAATGCCAATTAACCGATGGAGATAATGTGACTTCAGATAATATAAAATGTAGTATTGTCACAGCAGTCGTGAATTCACTACCGTGCATTAAGAGTGTTATTGCATGGCTGTGTTACTCAAATTAAACAAAGTCCCGATTTCCGACTACGTAAGTAAACCGGACAAAATGTGGGGCATTGTACTTCTTAATTGCCCTGTACAGCTTGGAGTTAATTTCGCGGGCCAGACGGAGTAATAAACTTTGAAAATATGTTTAGACGGTTCAGAGACACGTAAACTTCTTGTTACTGAAGGTGAATTATGTTTTTTAACTTTTTATGATAGAGATGAATCTTGAGATGTTAATTGCAAGTCGATGATATCTGCTATATTATATGCTTTTGTAATGGTTGTTTATTAGTCACCAGTAAAGTATTTCCACGACTGCTTAAGCCTCGGGGTAAAATTCTAATGTGCCGATTAGCTTCAATTAATTTCAATTTTCGCCGTTTTTCGTTTGGCACTTTGTCGGCAAGTGTCCCCATTTGTGGCATTTAGTGCAATAACCCATTTTATTAGAGTGTGCATAGCGACATTTGGACGATCCATATTTGCAATTACTCTTGAAATAACATTCTTTGTCCCTATCAGGATTTCTAAAGAACTTCTTTTCATCTTCGCTGTGATAGTACTTGCAATTAAGCCCTCTCTTGCAGTTTGAACGGTCTTCGCATGGCGCAGAGTATTGTTGGTTTCGTCGCCTTCGCGTCTTTCTTTGAACAAGTTGGAAGTCATCTTCTTCGCCACTTCCACTCAGGTCATCTATGTTATTGTGAGATGGATCATCACTTCTCACACTTAGCTGGTCGTCAACATTCATTAGTGCTTCATATTTGTTTGTGATGCAAATTTCAGCACTTCGATCATACTCATTACGGTAGGAGGGATAATTGACAATTTTCCAAGGATATTGCTGTTGAAGTTTCTCGAAGATCTTGTCGAAATGGTGTTCAATGCCCTTTCCATCGACAGATTTCACTTTAGCAAAGATCAGAATTACATCCACGTAATCCGTCAGATCCAAATCGTCTGGTCCAATCATACGGAACTGAAATGGCCAGCCTAGCCTTTCGCAAAGACCATTTTGCCATTTCTCATCAAGTGAAAAGTCAATACCTTTAATGATCGCAGACCGCGACTTCGGAATGTCTTTTTCTTTGAATTTTAAATTGGTAAACGTGACTTCTTCAAGGCTCGAGTCAAGTGTATTTATGTGGACAAATCCAGGCTTCTCCTCCGCCAGTTTTTTGAGTGCGTTTGAAATACAACCTTCCCACATCCAAATTACAGTGGACCATTTCATTTTTATGCTCTCGTTAATTGCTGGTATCATGTCAGCATCTCCACTCACAATTACTATCTTCCCCTTGGTGACACTCCTATCAGAGACTAACGCTGTAATATCCGCCACCATCTGATGATCCACTTGCTTTTCCCTATTTGTGATGGTGCTTCTCTCAGTGGTGATCACCTTCCACCCACGCTCCCTTATTTTCTGCCAGACAGAGTCTATTGGCGGAGGTTCCGATCCATACAAAGTTCCCCAGGCAACATTTCTCCCATTTGCAACGACGTCTGTTACTTTTCCAATGTCTAAACGGAGTCGAGGATCTTCCACGCATTTTAGCTTTAACTTCAAGGCAGCACGCTTCTTTGCTTCGATCCACATGTTTGAATCATCAACATGAATAAAGACGTGTTCGTCTCCTTCATTTTGCGGCCTGACTGGCTGTAAACTCTCTGAGCAGCAACTGCATTCCGTACTATCGCAATCGTACATTTGGTCCGCAAAACAGTTAAAACAGGTCATGTGGTTTGATTTACACTGCCAGAACTTGTGATATCTAGTAAGATATATCCCACATTTACCACAATTTCCCCTTCCAAGGAGATCTAGTTGAAGGGAAAGACATTATGTTCATGAGTTCTTCACTCAGCATAAATATTAGGTTTACCTCTACCAGCACAATTTACTTATGATTTTGAACACAGTTCTTGAATCCAGTATTACTATGGAAAATCAGGTAAGAAAAAAAAAATTTGGGTGGAACATACTGTCCGCGCCAAGCATTGTCGACAACCTCGAGAAGATCAGATGCACCAGCTGCGAAATTAGTCCCGTGTATAATTATTGAAATCGCTTTTTAACTCGTCAGCTAAAGTGTCGCTGTCAATCTAAGAAAACCGATAACATCAGAAATATTTATGGAATATTAATCGAGTTCCCAGTGAGGAAAGAGCCAATCATGTGTGAGTAGAACTTGTATTACGCGGTCATCCACGGAGAATGGCGAGGTGACCGCTAAATACTGGTTGACTGTTTATTACAGATTCCTTACCGATAGGGGTTTCACACCATAATTGATCGATTAATGTACAAAAACTCGCCAAAAATACTATGACCATTGATTTCGGGCGACAAACATGGACTAAATGCACTTGAAAGCTTGTTCTTAATTTTCTTTGAGTGCATGGTTCCGCTTTAAGACACCGTTCGATACAGGTAGAAAACAATAGGAATAGACGGTTGGGACTCAGAAAAGGGTGACCACGACGTTTCAATAGAGGTAAATCCCAAAAAGCAATGGTATTAGTTGTGGTTTTGAGATTTTCCTGCATTTTTTATTTTGATTGGTTGGAAAAGAATTGGCCATTTAAAATAAAATCCAAGGAATGGCGAAAAAGTCTCGCCAAAAAGGATAACGTCTCACAGTCTAAGCACTTATCAGAAACCATCAATGACTTCTGCGGCGGCGGGCAAGTGGAATTATAGCCCTTTGACTCCCAAAATCTGATTATTACTACTTCACTCCAGCTGTAACACATTTACCTGTAGAATGGAATTTGGTCTTAGATCAAGATAACAACTTATTAACCTCTACCAGCGGTCAAGCGAAAAACCCTAGTACCTTGTTTTTACGCAATATTCCTTCTTTGATCTGGTAATTGGGACATGGAAACTTGAAGAATTGCCCTGAAGTTTGACCCGAAGACTCCTACGATGTCAAACGTAAAAAACCGTGTTAGGAATTTCTGTTGCTCGTAATTGATTCTTCTAAATGTTCGCGGACGTAAGACGTATCGGTAAAATTTTGACGTGAAAACTAGAAGGAAAATTGCAAAGCAACCAATAAGAATAGCGAAAATTCTCTACACAGCTATAAAGACCAACGACTCAGGATTGCCATTGTGCAGAAGTTTCATTTGCACGGTTGGATTTAATACTCGACTAACTCGCTTAAAGAGGCAAAGAGCAATTAAGCTAAAAAGCTAGAAACAATTTTTTTTCTGGATAACACATTTCATAACCTTTCCATTGTTGTAGGTTAGGGTGGTTATGCTATTGATAATATACACATAGAAAAGTTCTCGATTCTGATTGGCAAAGAGAAATGCAATTATAGGAAATACGATACAGAAATATGGAATTAAGTGAAAAGGTTATTTTAGTGCAAAAATAATAAAAAACAATTCTGATTGCTTGATTAACTAAGCCACTCACAAAGAGCCAATCAAACACGACCTCTAAATAGCCCGAAGTAGTGAGCGAAATCAATGGATGGCGTTTTGAGCGGGTTTTCTTTCGCATTAACGGAGAAGCTGAAAAACAGCTCTAAAAACAAGAGCACTGTGAATAAATCGAACTTCTTTCTGGTTGCCTGTTTGGAAAAAGTGGTGTCTCGAGAAGGGAACTGAAGACACTTTCTAGAGCGAATTTACACCGAACTGAAAAGCTAACATGTGAGGATTATGGACCAGAAAGCTTTAACGCAATAATAGCATTGCTCGACAGGCACTTGAAGATCAAAGGCTTTAGCCATTTTTTTTGGTGCGGGAAAGAAAGTTTAGTTCATCCGGGCAGGTTTTGTTAATGGTTAAGCGAAACAGTTTTGTTTCGCTGGCCGTGGAGAGCCCCTAAACAAATCTCGCGGACAAGATGCGGAAAAGGAGAAAGAAATTAATTATTTAGTAAAGCAAGAAACTCGGTGGTTAAAACCTG